CTACAGCATGCGCTTATACGCCAGCAATGGCATTTATGTCGCTATGCGGTACTAACGTTCATTCTCATACATATAGCTTGTTGGATTGTACAAAACCATCTGACATGTATCATTGGCCTAAATATTGTCCTCCACTACCTACTCAGATTCGATTTCCACAATGGATGTTACCATTATTGAGTTCGCGTCGTACTACTGCCATAGCAGTTAAAAGCAATTTAATACAAACTCATGGGTTATATCATCAGTGCCTTGATCAAGCTACGACTATCATTTGTCAATCGATACCATTTTGCTCTTCAGATGGGAAAAGATTACTTAGTGGTACAACAAAACAAGATTGTATATCGAAAACTTCCTGGTAAGTTTATGTGTGATGAATGAATAACGAGAAATTATCCTATGTAAATATTAGACTAAGTTTATTATAATGACAGAGACTTACCTGCTACATGGTTTTGGAAAATGTTGTTTCTTATCTCTATAGCACTATTTACTTCCTAATTTTGAAGTCATCTACTGTAATTCTGTTTACAATAGGTAGTTGAATATGTAATTTCTAAATTTTAAGTACTTCTAGGACTTACAAGTACAGTCATTCCTAGTTAAATTCACTCATACTAATTAGATTATTAGTGAAATGATGTTGAATACGTTTTGATTACGTATAGGTTCAATACTTTATGTAGGACTATTATTTACTGTAATATCTAATTATGTGTAAGCTATATCATTCAGAATATTAATGATATTCGTACACATAAGATTAAATGGTTATACCTAATTTTAATATCATATTATCTGCGTTATCGCTGACTTTGTTCCCATTTATTATCAATTTACGATCCTAATTCTTTACTCAGGATAATAAATGCTACATGCAGTATACTGTCATTTTGGTACTTTATCCGCCATACAATTATCACTAATTCTTATTCGTAATTATCAGTGCATCCTAGATATTTTCGTAGACTAAGGGATACCCATATATAACATAACGTATTCGTAGTTGCATACAATATTGGTCATAAAGAAATAATTCCGTAGTGTCTACCATTGATCAAAAAGCCCAGTGTAATTAATCTTCGGTATTATAAATAATACCTTCATTATTGACAACGTTCAACACCTGCAATATTTGATAGTATTTACTGTACATATACTTCATGCGATAATATGCAAAATTAAACATCTAAAGAGGGGTAAACGTTTTGTCGTCGCTAATGGTCAGACTAAAATTAAAACTATAATTCTTTTTATAGTCTGACAGGTATTGCGAAATTACTAGTCAACGCAACACTTGATTGTGGATCATTTCCAGACTCTGAGGCAAAACAAGAATTGATTGAATCTGATCAAGGCTATGGTGATTCCACTACATTTATTCTACCAGAAACAACTACAAAAATTGTTTCTAGTATCGGTACTACCGTTGACTCAAGTCAAAAGAATATTAATGCTGCGCAGTCTTTTCTCGTTACGTCAGTTAACAGTCTAGTCGCTTTAATTAGTATGACTATTATAATGATTTTACACTAAGATTGAAACACCAATAGCTACCTTAGGGAAGGATAAAAATAATAAAAATACTCAAGGTCTACTATCATCATCAATATAAGCATTGATAAGACGCGCATTATTATAGTTATTAATTATTTAAATAAACAGTGTTTTAGTATCGGCAATAATCGAAGGTGGTATACTGTCAAAAAATCTGAATTTAGTAACTACTTATCTTAGTATTAGTAATGTTATGTGACGCTTTTAAAATAAATAATTTGCTATTGCATAATATGGTAATCATTATAGTGAGAAGGATCGTATAATTATAATTGTATGCTGTATTATCTAAATAAATTTATTAAGATTAATAAACTTTTACACGTATGTATGAACATTGTATTATCAGTATGTATTCACAGATTTAGATTAAAACATTAAATTAAATATAACAATTTTGGGCTATGGTATAGTAAATTTTAAGTGGAAATTAACAATCCTCAAAGGAGATAATTGGTTCTTAGCTGCCCACTGAGCGCCATCTTTTCATGTGAATCAGAGGCTTTGTTTCGGTTTTTCAAATGGCCGACATCCCTTCTATATATATTTTAATTTTTAAAGAAGAAGATATTAACACAGGATTGCATCACGAACATTGTCTATATCTTACGTGAGAGACGAAAATCACCATACTATAATTGTATAAACACCACATATCTTAATAGTATGAAAATTTCTTGATATGTTATTATTTCTTCATTTAAGAATGTTAGTAGACGTTACAAATTTCTTAATGTATCAATTTAGGCATTGACTATGAGTTAATACTAATATATGTTGTTCTATCAATCAATGAAATATGGCTATAAACTCTCCATGCTATCAAAATAGTACTAATATACTTAAGTAGATCTAATGTGTATTAAGTTGAACTATTAATAACCCCTAAATATACATACTTATTAACTGTTTTCAATGGCAAAAAAACTATCTAGTAGCTGACTAGCAGTTTTTCTTAATGATTCATCATCTCGGTATAAGAGTAAATCTAACTCCTCTTGTATATTCAATTGATTCAGTATGCGCTTGCCCTTTAATTTCGGTAAGAGATAGGATCGTTATCAAAAGCTATGTATTGCCTACTGTATTAATAAGGACAATATGAGCAGTACTTACATCGGGAATCGTCGCTATCGTAATCTGAATGATATCTAAGAACACTAATGCTTTATCCACATCTGCAGATTTTAAGTTAGCCGTAACAGCTAAAAGGTAAAATTAGTTTTATTAATAAGACAAAAAAATAAATTGGATAATTAAAAATTTGAAAGATACTAAAGTACGTAGCTATGCCGACCCCGAGCTAATTCTTGTGTATTCTTACCTTGCAAAGCGTTCAAACGGGCAAGATGCTGGATACAATCTGAGCCAAGACTAGCATAATTTCTTAAAGCCATAGCTGCCTAACATTAGCGAGTATTTTATTAACTTAGTCCTACGCAATCTCTTTATCAATAGACTATCATGAAATGTCAAATTAAGTCTACTTCTATTCCAATTTCATTGGCCCAAGAAAGTCGTTTAATAGCTTCCTTAATCAGCTCAATCCCACTCTCATTTATAACCGTTAAATTCACTTGAGATCCACCTATTCATACAATAATAAAGTATTCAACCCTGTTGTAGCTATATTCAAATTATAGCTTCTTAATTGCTGATATAATACGCCAAATACATACTTACATAATAGATTTGAAAATAACCAAAAAATTTCCTTAACCACGTGACTTGATAAAAATATTAAAATAAGATCATTTTATTCATGAAATACCAATAAATTCGTACTCAGATGATATCCCCAGTTTTTTGCCGAAGCCACCGTTAGTATAAAATAATTTATGCACCTATGAGTATTATGGTTAATCCAGTATATTAAATCATTTAAAATTCTTGGTTCTTCCAAAATTAAGGCATTAAATTCATCTAATCCACCCGCAAGATTTCCAATAATTCTAATAGCTGGTGTTAGAATCTGAAATATAAAAATATTGACCTTCACAATTAATGTCCATAGACAAAGTTAAAGTAAGAATTCTAACATAATTAATATAACATAGACCTACTTTAATTTGGTAATTTCGTGATTCCGTTAAAAAGCGAATGACTTTTGTTACTAGCTTTACAATATTAGTCGATAATAAGACACTGTCATATCCGTCCCTACAATAATTAAAATAGAAGTAAATTTTATTGAAGGAACTAGCGTTTATATTGCATGAAAATAGCTCACTTGGCAGTAATATGATGCAGTAGATGTAATATATCAGGCAAAATCGTAAAAGATATCTTATCTTCCTTATCAAATTGAAGGTGGTTCGTCAAGTACTTCAAGACGTTACAATCTATCATTTCTCTATAAGATTTATAAAGATATACAATACATTAATTACATAAACACTATAAGTTGTATAGCCGACTTTACCTCTACTGACAACATATATATAATAGGAACTAATAAAAGTAATAATATAAATTTTAATATAGACGTACTTGAGGTTAATATCATCTTCCCTGGTGAAATTGGAGAGTGCAAATGCAGCAGATTGTATAACATTTTCAGATGTTGCCTAAAAATGTTATTGAATGGATGGAATAAAAACTTCAAGTCTACAGTATACTTTTAATCGAAATTCGTTGCTAAATCCTATCTGCTCTATGTTAAATAAAAGTCAAAAATTTACGTTTAATAGTGATACTAGAGGTTTGGTGACACCCTGTTTGACTAATAATTTCCGAGATTTTTTACCATCCCCAGCCATGTTCCCAATAGCCCAAGCACATTGATCCTAAGATAATGAGACGGTAGACTAAGGTATGAATAACTAAAGCATACAGCACTATAGAAAAATTTATACATTAGGATTTAAAGTAATAAATAATTATATAATTAATAAATCTATAGGATGTGTATAATACGTGAAATGATAGTTATCTCCATAATTACAGTGCATAGTAAAAAATACCTGCATCGCCAAATTTTGTCCAGACAGGTAAGTAATACAATATGGGGCAGCCAGACGCGTTACTTGTAGCGTTTGTTTATGATTTCCTGTACAAATATTGGTAATGCACCAAGCAGCATGCTCCTGCAAATCTGAATCACTCTGGGTTAAGATACCGATTAGTGATTGTAGAGCATTGTCGACACTACAGACGGATAGGAAATAAAATTCACGATTAAACCTGAAGTTAATGCGATAGAATATCAATATATGTCGTGTATATAGTGAGAGATGAATTATAAAATTGTAATTTACTGCCTTCCTTCACAGGCAACTTAATAGTAGTGTCTGCTTATGTTAGAACTAGTTACCCTAGAAATGTTGAGATTAAGGCCTCATCTTGAGTAAAAGCTCTGCATAAATTCTTCAGTATATCCATTCTGGAATTATTATGCTTTAGCAATCCTCGAGCCAGGGTCTGTACCTTTAAGAGATACGTACATACTGGTATTAAGCAAAGACACTACAGATTAATCAGTAAAACATTTCTAAATTTATTCTAGAACTTAATTCTACGTTGCGAATCTACCATTTTACTGACTGGATCCAATAATTTGTATGCAACTTACATGATTGCTATCATAGTACTGTTCATCCTGGACGTTATCGTTAAAATATCGAGGTCTTTTTGATGAAATTAATTGATCTCGTTGTCGGCGTATAAAATCTACCAAGAATAAATTGGAGGAAATTATCAGCTGGAAGGATTCGACATCATCCTTCAAGATACTGATAGAAAATAGTAATCTACCTTACACATCTTTTACTAGATACTGGATTATTTAAATCATGGAACTTGTCATGTTTAAGAGAAATAAGTAAGAAATAGGGTAGGATAACTGATCTTATTTTCAATTTACCTTGTTGTTGTTTGCGACGATCATTTCGACGATCTTCAATTTGATCACTAGCATGCTTATACAAATGACTATGATCTAGACTAGCCATAATTTGTACCAAAATATGATTCAGTAGTATTTTTCCTCCACAAGCTAGTAACTTTTAGCTAAATGAATGAATATGCTGACAATATCACTGAAAAAATAAAATCGATCCAAACGATCTTGTAGATTATACAGCTTTGTACGCTAACACCAGCTGATGAATCCTAACGTAACCAATTTTTTGGATAACTTTATGACGAAATGAAGTAATAACAGGCAAAATTTTGAGTTTAATGAGTGGTAAAACTATTTCAAGTTAATAAAATGAGGTAAAATAGCCAAATAGAAGCGAATTCGATATGAAATTACTCCATCATCACGGAATATTTTGCATGGTTGCAGCTGAGCAAGGTAGAGGTGCTTGCCTGCAGCGAGCTGTCTAGCCTGGATATGGAGAGCAAAGTAAATTTTAGGATAGTGTCCAATACAATCGTCTTTTATACAGTATTTAGACTAAGCTAAGTTGTCAAGCAGCGAAATCGCGACCAAACATTGCTTTTTACTGAGGTGATAAATCAATTTCAACCTAATCTAATATAGTACAGTATGAACATTGTACTAATGTTTAGAACATTATATAACCTAAAGGATACAAGAAGTCATATTAAATAAGGATTATCGAGGGGTAGTATAACAAAATAATTTTTGCAATCTAAGGCTTTGTATAGGAGTATAAAACTGTTGTCTTAGTAATATGAAAATTAATCTGCTTGGAATTATAAAATATCTCATTCAGAGGATTTTGCAGATTTTTTTCTAGTTTTCTGTTCGGTCTAATCATCAGACAAGAATAATTAGCTAAAAGATAGTTCCAAAATTGCAGTATGCAATGTACAGTATAATCGATAAAGGCGAAGAGCGACTTCATTTCTCATTTAAGCTGCTACCGCAATCATCAATATATCGTAGCTAAGGTGAACGCATTCGTATATAGATTAAATATACGGCATATATATATAATGGAGCAAGAGCTCGAAATAATTAGGCGGGTGGTGAATATCACCACTATATATACAGTATAGGCGTAAATAAAATGCTATAATTGTTATATGCTGACATATTCAATTAAATAGCAGTATATAATTGATAAGGATTCCGAGCTACTTTTTGATGACTTAGAATCGAATAATGATTGGATGTATACAGGATACTTCTAGGTGTAAATTAAATGCTACAATTGTTATATGTTAACATATTCAGCGAATAGCAGTTTAGAACTGGCAAGAATGCTGAGCTACGTTTTGATTACTTGTAATTTAACTTAAGCTGTTACCGCAATTTTAACTATATCATTGCCAATATAATGATTCGTATATTTATATATGTAATAAGAGTCCCTAATACTTAGACAAAGAAAGAATAAATATTTTGATAGTATAGGCAGCGTAGTGTAACTAAAATCCCGTAATCGTCATATACTATACTTATGTCTTTAATTAATATAAGTATGAAACTACTATATTAGTATAATTGGTAAAAATACTGACTTACTTTTTGATGACTTAGCAATTAAAGCTATCAGCTACTACCGCTGTTTTAACTATGTCATTCATAAACTACCAATAGCTTGGATAATAAATTGATGAACTTTTCCAAGCTCTATCTTGAATTCTAGTCATGGCCAATGTAATTATTTATATATTTATAACTGTAGCAAGAGTTTGTAATAGTTAGATAAAGAATGAATATTTTGACAATATAGTTAGCGTAGTGGAACTGAAATCCCATAATTGTCATTCATATACTGTACTTAGATAGTTAATTAATATTAGCATGAAATTTCTTTTATTGTAATGATTAAAATTTTGTTCGTACATCAATATTATCATGTATACAGTGCAGTGCTCTATGGTTATTGGATAGCGATTTCACATATTTCATTAATATAGAGCATGAGATAAATATCGTTTCTTTTATTATAATGATTCAAAATTTTTATTCGCTAATCGGTATTGTTAGGTTCGCTGTTTCTTGGTGGTGATTTCATATATTCAATTAATATAAACCATGAAATAAATATCATTTCTTTTTTTCTACTGTATCAAAGATTCTACTCATAGATCAATTTTATAGGGTTTGCAGCATTGCTATTGATGATTTACAAGCATTTCATAGTAATTCTAAAAAAATCTTCATGCAATTGTTTTACTGAATGCCGTAATATTTCTTTTATCAAATATTACCAATAATTCAACTACAACTCAGTCTTTTTTAAAGATGCAAGCACGTAGACGACTGTAGATTACGAGAGTAATAGTCTGTCTACGAACTGTCTCAATTCGATAATATAATATACCAAAATTGATTCGATTAGTAATATAATTATTATCAACCTAGCTATGATCTTAATTATAACAGCGCTTCAATCGTAATGGAAGCCTTTGGTATTATTCTTAGCACTATTTTTCCTAAAATGATTGATTTAGACATATTGTTATAGTCGTAATAGATAACAGCAGGAAATAAAACTTATAGTTATCCCTGAAATTTTTAGTAAATTTTATTTTGTACCTCATCGAACTCATTGATTTTGCAATCATTAATAATTGCTACTATTTCTTTACATAATGCTTTAACACGGTACCTGTGTCGCCATGGAAAAGAGTCCTGTTTTGTTTGTATAATAAAATCTTGGGTGACATTCAATTGATAGTTTATCGAAGGTCATAGATCTAATTTATTCATTTTTATTGTCTATCCGGTCATACTAAATAACCCTTTGTAATTTTTCTCAATATGATCTTCACAGGAGTAAGACTTAATTATTCAATTTGCTATTCATATATTTGTTCATCATTTCCGACTACACTTATTCTATCCATTTCGCTAAAAAGCGACACCAGCCAAAAATATGAATTTTAAAATATCACTCCTCTTCGGTTGCATCATCTTGAATACGTTGCATATTAGTGACTGCCATGGCTATAACCAAGCTGATACAAAGGTAATTCTTGATGGGAAATATAAAAACTATCTTTCATTTAAATGCTATAAGATTAGACGGTAGTAATTATCAAAATTTGTTTTACACCGTCTAACATAACCGGATGATTATACAGTATTGAAATTTAAATCAAGTTTGCATCTTTTGCTGTCATAAAGTCATTTCTTTCTAATATGCGCGTATAGAAATATGTCGTCAATTTTAGAGAATATCTATGAGACTATTAGGCAATCGAGATGATTTAATTTTCCATTTAATATCTTTACTTTATCGTTTCTTCTAAAATGTCTAATAAATGCTCGGGTTAATTTCATTGTATATTTCAATCCGCTCACAATGAAGATGGTAAATTTCAAATAACAACCGTCATGTGCTTGGTTAAAATAATCAGCACATTAGCAAAAGTATGCTTTGAAATAAATCACTTATTTCCTAAGATAATCCTGTTTGAATCAACGTCAAAAATGAAAAAATTTACATAATTGATATATTCCGACTTGGATAAGTTGTTCATCCTTACAGTCTCATTCAGTGTGTCTACCACGTTGCAAAAACCTTCATAATTAATGACTTTTCCAAAATGTACTGCAGGCCTATAGAAAGAAACTAATTTGAGCTCGTCATGAATAGTGCATTAAAATGCAATTGTATTGTACTCCATCATAATAGCAAATGACAACCTCGCTAGGTGTTACTGTCTTGATAAAGGTAATTTATTAATTTTAGGAAAATGCTTAATCCTATTCTGACATCTCCCTATCTTATGTTAGCAGATTCTTTTTTATTTCCATCATCTATGTATTTTCATTTCTAAACATATTAGAGATATCTTAAAATTTGTGTAATATCGTAAAATTTGTTTCAATTCCAGCGTCCTAGAGTTTTGTAGTTGATTTATATCTTATATTTAGCTGTTGCCATGAATAGAGAAGTCCTTGACTAAGGAAATCTATTGTGTGCTTCTATTTCTAATTTCCAATATCGAATTTTTTATATGGTTACCCTAAGAAATACATGAATGTTACCAAAGTGTATTCTTGTGATAAAAATATGCCGGAGATATTTCTTGACCTTCTATCTCGAACTACTTATCAAGATCACTTCTCTATGACAACTATGAACTTCTTCCTAAAGCTTTGCTACAGAAACTCTATAGACCGTCTCCTTACCCATAAATGATAAAATAAGCTCTCTTTATCGTAAAAAGTAATTCGCTTTTATACCTTCTGTCTATATTCACGAGCGCCTTCAGTTTATAAAAATAGAAATAGTAACCAATGATATTGCTATCGTTTATTCTTATATCTAAATTTGTATAACTTTGTGCTCTACTTTAAATATACTCTAAGAGCACACATAGAATACGAGATCAGTCATGATCAGAACAAAATCTGACCTTTGAGCCTCTATAAATTAGGAATCGAACTAATTCACTTGCTATTATAGGAAAATGAATTAGTTTTACAATTCTATAACTCTAATAACAAGCTGTCTGCTCTACAATAATTAATACCATAAATTGACACTTCACGGCGATCTTTAACACCGTGACACTGAAATCTTAATATCCTTTTCAGCCTAGGCCTATTTACTTACTGGTATATTTTTAGCATATTTCTTACCATCACACGTGTACAGTTGATCACATAAAACGAGAAGTTATAGTCACAAATTTAAATTCGTAAAAGTTAATGATATGCAAATGAGATTTGACGTTAAATAATATTATGAATTTAATAGCTTTCTGGCTTTACTCTTCCGTAGCCACCCCCTAATTATAATGAGCAAAAACTAGAATTCAATAAATTCCGAAATAGCCTGGAGTTTTTCCACATTAAGAAATGATAATTTATCGATCAAACATTAAACTCCTGTACACACGTAGAAGTAAGAAGAACTATACATTATAGCAACATCTACCATAATATCCCAGCGAGGGGTGGTAACAATTGCATCCCAAGCTGTTATAGGGTAGACAATGAAGTGGAACGACTTCTACTAATTTATTTTAAAATTTGTTTTCAAGGAATATAGCCGTATAATCTAGTAGTTTAGCTTGTAAAATAGACCTATTATAATTATCTGAATAAATGTATGTATACTGTTATTACAAATCAAAAATTTTATAACGACGACGAAATATAAAACTAAAACAGATAATAAATACTAGTCTACTGCAAGATTATCCACTCCGACATTGACCTGTAGTACAATTCTAAACACTGACGATAGTAACACCGCTAGTGTCTCTCAGACAAAACTGAACCTAGACTTTGTTAAATAATCTGCTAATTTATAGTACAATGGCATAACATCAGTACTTAGATAATGTTATAAAATGTTGCAAATATCTATTAAAAATAAGTAAGAGGTCATAGATTAATTAATACCAACACACTCCTAGATAAAGTCATCCTATGAAAACTAAGTTACGACCACTATATTAAAGTTACTTCGCAGCAACTGTACATATTAATATCAATTTATTTGTCTTTTCTATCCCCTTCGATGAATATTTACCTAATATGAAACGAGCAATAAAGTTCGAAATATGTATACTTTATCATTCTGATTTTTGATAGAGATGGCAATATTAGAAAGCTTCAATTAACTTTTGCTACGATTAGCCTTGCAACCTTCAAATTATAGCTCTGGCCAAAGTTTAAAAATATAAATTCATCGAGAAGAATTTGACAGCTACGCGCTACTGTCTATATATTATATTTTGCTGCATAGATAGAGTCCATACTTTAGTAAGTTACCAAAATTGTACCTTAGAATAATATCACATGACAAGCTTTGAATTCACTTACCCATAATTAAATTTATATGCATTTAAGGATGTAAATGATGAACTTATGTCGCTATCCATTTTCTATTCGCAAGACTATTATATTTATAAAATAACCTCATATACGTATTGTATAATTTAACGCCATTTGATTCATTTACTTACGAACCATTAACTTGTGCTAATTTAAATTTTTGACATAATGCATGCCTCTACGCTACGACGATATTAACTGTGGTTTCGATAGAGTATTCCTACAAAATACGTTAATCTATACTGTTTCATTAAGACTAATATTCGGTAAATCGTATAACTATCTTGAAAATGAATTGGATTGGATATTAATTATTAATCTATTACTCAAGAACAAGTCCACTAGTCTCCTGTATTACAATGGCGAAGATAAGAAGTCAATTATATAGAGCCCATTATATCGTATCGCCTTGTAAAGATGATAGAGACTAGACTAAACATTTGTTCTACCGTGTGAATGTAATATTATGAAGATCAAATTGTCTAGACGATGTTAAGAGCAGAGATCATACTATATAGTGAAACAGCAGCCTAAGTTTAAAAACTTAATGGCCACGATATTTGATCAATAATTTGATAATGATGGATATTAACTGTCGAGGTTAACTTTTGCAACGAAATGCTGTCATCATTTAAATTGTTTATTTAATCTATATCGTATCCTATGGAAATAAGATGTTTAAAAAATATTTTTAATAGGCTGTCAACGTTCTACTTTTAAAAGTATTGAAATTTTTAAAATGCAATGCAGTTCCTTATCATAATAATTTCGTAACGTCTAAAATTTTATGGCGATTCAATGTTATAAAGGAATAACTAATTTACATATTTATTAGCTTGATAGGGTCAAGCGTGCAAACATGCAAGTTCATGTCTTTAGTAATATCGATTCTTGCTCCACCTTGGACATCAGAACCAGCCAATTCTGTGGTTCTACCTTTCAAACACCAACTGTAGCGAGTAAATTTCAAACTTTGCAATTTCATACTCATGCAAATGCCTTTGATCGTCTGCCATCGTTATCAAACAGCTGCAAAAATGCTATTAAAAAGGTTTTATGTAGATTTAGCTTCCCTCAATGTGTTCCAACTAACAAAACTGTTATTTGGTATAATACTGCTAGTGTATGCAGCCAAATGAATTCGATTTGTGGTAAAGCTGCACTTAATTTTACTTATATGTGTGCAAGATCACCTAAAATTGAAAGTTTGACCACTTGTGTATCACCACCCAGAATGAATATGACAGCTGGTAGACCTACTGGTGGGCCTACTAGTGGACAACCAAGGTGTCCAACACTACCACCTAATATTAAATTTCCCAAATGGATTTTAAGTGTTCTATCTAATCGACGTTTGCGCAGTGCAATGTCCATTAAAGCAAGTATAGGTGGATTTAATAATATATCAAATCAATGCATCCAGCGAAGTGTTGATGCAGTTTGTAGATCTGTTCCATATTGTTCACCTGATGGTACGAAATTGCTTCTAAGCATGAATGAAAAAACTTGCGAATCAAGAACTAATTGGTAAATATAGCATATAAAGTGCATATTATATGAGTAGTTTATGTCATGTTTTTCTTTTTTTTATGTAATTTGCAATGACTTATTGCTCTAGTAAACAACATAATTCTTAACGCATTCATAAAGATAGAAGTAACAATTTGCATACTCAAACTATACGTATACTTTAATATTTTAGGCCATTTTAGATGTAAAGAAGCAGTAAAATAATAAAAGTAGTCATTTTTAGCCGAATAATTATTAGATTAATTATAATTTTATTCCCTCTCTTATAAGTTAATAATCATTAGTAACGATTTATAGTGCTAGGCAAGCAATATATTTTAGATACAATTTTAGATACAATCACGAAAAAAGTTATAACAAGTCGCATAGGATTAGCTTAGATTAAAAAAGCCGTAGACCTATCATAACTTGTCTAATTTCAATTTCTTGCTCATTTTTGACGCAAAAAATAGCAAACAATGATATCAGCCAATTGATACAAATAGTAATCAGATTAATAGTAATTTTATTCGCCTCTAGCTTACCTACCAAAGGTAAAGAAATGTTAAACTACATCATGGGATGTTCCGGCTTTCCTGCAGAAAATAGCCAACAAATATCCATTCAAAATACTCAAGGCTACAGTGGCTCTGACGTCAACTCTGCTCAAAGGATAATATTGACTCTTAATTGTTTGCTATACATGATTATCGTCGTGTTTATGTTGGTTTAAATTTACAGTATTATCTAAATAAATAGGAGGTATATGTAATAATAATAGCAGCAATTATGACTGTACACTCACAATATCCTTCACCATACTTACTAAAATGATGTAATACATGTCGTGCAAAGTAACCAGATATTGATGTATTCAATCTAGCTATGGTTTTACCTGTTATCTAGTACGATATCAAGGTAATAAAAAGTTAAGTAGTACTAATCAATGCGCCGTTTACTCCTCATTATTTTTAATTTTATATAGTACAGAATTTAGTTGGCTTTAATTTACGCAAATTTAATAATACCGTACGCACGGTATTACGTACGGTATTATTCTAAATAAAAAATGTTCGACTTTAACCTCCTTTTCCTACCAAAGATCTTGTTATACTGTCCATTATCGTACTAAAGAGAATGTAAATTACGTTTGTAAAGGATCTATATTAATCCATGAATTGCTAAGTATTTTAGACTGCGTACTTGTCTTTCTCAAAAATTAAATTACACAATTATATCAATTTCATAGGCGCGATTAGAATCATACAATCGTGTTCTCACACTTAAATTTGAGGGAAATATTAACACTCTAATTTTAACAATTAGAGATAAAGAAAAGAATTTGAATATACTTTATACCGACACTTAAAATTTAACTAATGCGTAGAATATGTCGATGCAAATGTTTCCATATGCGTATATTGTACCAGTGTGTTATCATAGGATAGTAAGTCTGCATAGACTACGATATATATATATATATTCGTACATCAGTATACAGTAATTACTTTATATCATGCATTCGATTTTCTACCGTCATGTACCAGTTTTATAGTAAATTCTCATAGCAATCGTTGTGAACGAGCATATCACGTATCCTTATTTACATGCGCATAGAATAAATCCGTTAGTGAATTCAGATTTACGGTAACATCCAATTCCTTACACAATATAACTACAAATGGAGTTTATAAACTAATATCAAAATCGCTTTATTCTCCGCAGCACAAAGACATAGTGATAGATTGAACTATCCATTACTGTCTTTATTAACATTTACAGTATCGCTAAGGAATTGACGCCATTGATTAGTATAATCTTTACAACCCTTTTACAAGTCTAAGAATTCAAAAATTAACAATTAAAACATCAATTTGCCATCAGCCGCTAATCAGCAGATCGGGAAAGTTCTCATCCATTCGGCTTTGGCTAGCAACATTTTGTAAAACTTTCTTATAGCTATCTGTTAATGCTGCACTTGTTGCAGTGTCGAGGGTTGCAAGACATTTCTATTCGACATCGAAATATATCTCAATCAGTTAATTGCAAATTTACCAAGTAAACACGATGTACTGTACACTGGTACGTAAACGCATATATGTATATTAGTACATACGCGTACTTGTACCAGCATGATCCAGCTGTGTATCATTCTTACCTGATAAAGCTCATTTCCATTTCTTAAATCTAAAAGGACGGCCAAACACCTTTCCGAAGCTAATTTTATAGGCGTATTCTTTTCTTTTGCATTATTCAACAAAAGCGGAATCAATTTCGCTCGTGATGATACATTTAGGGTATCTGAATTACCACTAAATAATACATGCAAAGTATGCGTAGTGACTAATTTAACATCGTTCGATTTACTTCGTAATGCCTAAAATAATATAAAAAGGAATGTTAAATTTAAAGAGTATTTAGATCAACATTCATATACTGTACAAGTGTACGTACAAAGCGAGTTTAAAAAGTTTGACATTTTTACATACTTCGATTAACGCTGATATTAGAGGGAGTGGAGGATTTTCCGATGTATACAGTCGTAGCATACATCCTATTGACTGCACGCCAGCACAGCAGATAGGAATCTGACAATACCAAGAAACTATTAACAACGACTCTAACTATATATCACTATTTCATGGGCAATTACCCTATCTGCACATGCTTGAGCCGTGATGGTCTTGATAATTTCATTCTTCATATCTACTTTAACAAGCTGATTCATAGCCTTATGTAGACTGCAAGTCAGTGCCATAGCCAATCCATGCCTGTTAACCCATTCCTGATTTTCTCCATCAGCTATACCAATAGCAATTATTTCAGCGTTAGCTAAAGTTATTGGAAGCTCTAAGATTAGAGGCCATCATTGGCCTACTATTATTATCAAAACAAATAAGTTTTTACCAACAAATTCTGTAACGATATCCTTTAGCTCATTTTCGGGAATAACGTTACAAAACGAGCTAATACATTTTGCAGCCTCTTCTCGAAGTTCTTCCTGTTATAATAGGATATCGATCAAGAACAAATTGCATAGTTAACTTGAAAGCTAACGTAAATTTCGGTGTACTGTAATAATACCTCGCTAGAAGCAAGCAGTAGGAGTAACGTTGCAATAATAGGTTTACGAGTGTCTTCTTTAATTTTTCCTCCAACAACATCGGTAACGCCCGATAAAGCACCCAACATCGACACCCTACATTATATTTAAATCAGATGTTATTTACTTTTGCTTAAATGAATACAGTTTCGTAAATCCTAAGTAACCTAATAGCAATATCTTCAACACTTTTAATCCCCTTATGAAGCTCGGTAAACAATAAGTCCGCACGAGAATGATATTTAATCGCAAGTTTCAGAGCTTTGCTTGCTTCGTCTCTTACTGCACGATTGGCGTCATTAAGCGCTTTTCTAAACGTCGTTTGTAATTGTGGTACGAATTGTTTAAGGTTGGCGCCGACCTTTTATAATATAAGCAATAACAGGCAATTATAAAAAGTAATAATATAAATAGCGACAATATTATCTATTTACGAAAGAAAAAATTTTGTCTTGCCTTTTCCAGTAAGATAACAATCGTATGAAGTATAGCAACACGAACATTACCATTAAATGTATCTCCTAAAATTCTAATCAGAGGGCCAGTCATATTGACAACATTTGGCTTTAAAGCCGCTACACTTGTTAACTCAATCAACTCTCCTAAACCAGTCGCGGCTTCTTCTTTAATCTCGGAACTTCTACCCAAGATACCTTCACGGTAAAACGCAAATAAAGGCACTATTCCCTTTATTAAGAAAAAAATTCCTAAGCTAGGTTGTATCATTTAACCCTTTAAGATATTGCAGATAAAAACCTTTTTAGGTAAGCATAACCCGGGAAGTTCACCATCCTTTACGTCGTCTCTTACAAATCGTACTGCTTGCCTGAGATGCTCAACTTGTTGGATCATTTCAACCCCTGATAATCTCTACAAACAGAAGAAAAATTGCAGCTTGATTATTGCGATTATGATGATTGCTAAATGTTGTCTGCAATTTGGATAAAAACCTTTGAAATAACATTTAGAATATTCCAAGCAAGGCACAAAACATCATTATCGGAATCGTTAAGCATTCGAATGAGAGTGCGTAAAATTAAATCCATCTGAGAAACATAATCGGCAGTGGATTCGCTAAAGAATGGATGCAATAAGCCTAAGGCAGTCTGGGAATATAAATGATAATGTAATAATTATAATAAGACTTCGCGAAAATGCTGTATAAATAACAATTATCATGCTTCATTATACCCTTCGCATGTCAACATCTGATGACTTTGCTAACTCAAAGAGTTCTTCCAATACAACTCTAACAGTCGTTTCATCACTTATTGAGACAACTAACGTCATACAAGCTTCATAGCTCTATCAAACGCAAGTACAATTTAAGCTTAATAGCAAATTTTATCACGATTAGATCTAAACTATCTATGAGTATACTACAAACTGAACCTCTTTTTCCTTTTCATTATCTCTTGTATACCCTTTGATAACACTTAGCAAGGCAGGTATTACTTGATTCGCATATAACGATAACTCTTCACCGGCAACTGAAGCAACGTAGGCAAGAGCTCTTACTTGGATTGGTTCTCTAGCAAGCTATTATGCAAGTGAACAAAAATCAGCATATTTCTTATGCTTTAGAAATCTTGTATACCATATAGATAACATTCTAACAATATTTTACTTTCACTATGATTACCTTTGGCACTAAGAACGGCAATGTAGTACTACTTTTAACCAATACTACTTGTTTTAACCCATCAAGTGCATTTTCTACCATATTCTTATCATCACTATCGATTTCATTTAAAAGAACGGTCAAGATTTCATCAAAAGCAACATCGCCTGTGGAAAATGAATTTTTAGTTTAGTCAATCATAATTAAAGATAGAAATAAAATTTCTGTTAGAAAAACTACGCACCAGTTCTGTCATGAAGATTGTGAAAAGATTTAGCCGCAGCCACTCTAACATCCTGTATATCATCGCATAATACTTTACGAATAACTGCCACCAAGGCATCAATAAATTGCAAAACCTATACGGTAGCAAATCCAGTTTTAAACATTTCTCAATCAATATGATACCATAGTTAACTACAAACAAGTAGGATAAAGTAGGAGATAGTTACTTGTTCTCTACTTATGCATGAGATGATTGCACCCAATCCAATACATGTGCCTTTTCTTCTAATAACGTCATCATCTTCAATTCCTTGTTCTAGAATTGGAATCATCTCTGGTAAGACCCGGTCTCCTAATTTTGTTACTAAATCTGTTAAGCTAGCAGTGGCCATCTGCAAGTAAAGATATTCAAATATTAACTTATGAAGCGCATTTTAAATGAGTGTAAACTGCTACAGCTACGCACATGTCTCATATCCAAGCTAGAGCTAGCAAGACAACCAATAAGCTTCACAAATAGGTTAGGCAGCATTTCGCGTAAAGCCTTCGGCGTATTGATAACAATAACTTTCCATACGTGCATAGCAGCTTGTCGAACCAAGTGCGCAGCATCTGATCTACACATATAGAGACCAGAAAGTACTCGATCGCGACGTCCTCGACCTAATGCACCTAAAATCGACTACGTCAACAATCATAACATTTATTAATAAAAGTCGAAAAAACTGTACTGAGCGTAAAATAATTTAAGACGAATACAACCTGCATCGAATTTTCTGTACCAAAGTTTTCTTCTTCTTTACCTTCTGTACTCATTTTACCAGTAACGCCAGATAAATGGAAAAGTAAATCACCGCACAATTGTACAGAACTAAAACGGATGCGCCAATTATCATCAAGCAATCCAGCTTCAAGTTGAGGTAGAAATAATGATATGGCAGTTTTAGAGTATAAACTAATAATTAGTTGAGCTGCCCGGAGAGAAGTATCTCTTACATATTCTGTTTCATCAGCTAGACCCTAAGAGAAAAGCCGTTGTTGTACTAATTAGTGTTTTATCACTAATATTGCCATTACCAAGAACTATAGCATAACAGCACCATTACCATGGAGGATAAATTTTACCTGTAGTACGCTAGGTATGATACTACCAATAAATGGAGAGAAATCATCTTTAAATGTCATTGGTAAATAAATAAAGAGCATCAAGTATCCATCTCTGACATTTGGTGGCACATCTCTTCGTTGAGTCGTTGCAATTATATCAGGGAGTAGTTTTTCAAGTCTCTCCAAGCCCAATCCGTATACAACTTCGCTTAGACCTATCGAAAATCCAATGAACGTTACGCTTTACATAATATTCTAAAAAACTATGTTAATACTGTATTAATGCACTAGAGTTATTGATATTTGCTATACCTTGAGCCGCTCCAGATCTATCTACAGTACTGGTATCAGTTACTAATTTATCCAATAACCAAGGCAATAAATCCTGAAAGGGTTGTTCTCCCATCCCTTTCACAAGAACTCCAAGTGCTTTAGAAGAAACGTGTCTCACCTACAATTTTAAGTCATACATTAAAGTATCAGGACTAAACTTATAACATAAAAATTTAATATTCCATAAAAAACGTAAACTACATTAGGCATCGGGTCCAAAAGAGCTTGCTTTAAACCAGGTACAATCGAAGGTAAGTACGGCGCTAAATCCTATAATAAAATAATTACTTCTTACTTCTTAATTTTACTAACGGCTTTTACTTTCGTAAGGTCATTACTAATCATAACTAATCAATCTTAATCACTATTAATCATTACTTTCATATCAGTTAATGTAAACATATTGCCAATAATTTGAGATGCCATCTTCTTCGTCTCAGATGATCGTTGCTGCAATGCTCTATGGATAACTGGCATAATGAGGGCTAAAGATGGTGCATCAATAAAGTGCACGAAAGATGTTGACAGTAATGTTTGCAAGCAAGTTGCCGTATGAATAGTCGGCTCACTGAGAGCATCAATTAGAATCGATGATATATCTACAAATACAACATTGGTTGTCATTAAAGTTATTAATAAAATGTTTATAAGGATAAAAGAGATAATAACGTCATTTGTAAAGTTACTTTGTATTTCAGGATTTTTAATAACGGAAGCAATCTGCTTCAGCGCATGTAAGCCAGCATGTTGTACTTTAGCATGTGAATCGCCTAAAATATCTACAAGGTTAGGCACTATATTTGGAAGGCATGATGATAACTGCTTAGGAGCACAGTGAGCCATAGCTCCGAGTAGTTCTACACTACCAGTTTTAGTTCGCCAAGAATCTTCTTTTAGAGCATCCAACAATGATGGAAAAATCAGTTTAACACCATGAGCACTTAATTTCTGCATGATTACTTTTGCTGCATCCTCTGTTGCCTAAGTTAATTTTAATTTTAATACTGTTTAACTTAACATCATCGTGCCGATCTTAATCGATAATTAAGGAAATCTATTGATGATTTTAAAACCAAGAAATTTACCTCTCTAACGTATTGGTTTCCATCGCCGAAGCAAGTTAATAAATGAGGTAAAATTACTACGATATACGGCTCGAATATTCTACCAAGCAAAGAGAATAATATCTCCAAAGCAAATAATGACCCTTCCGAAATACCGTACAAAAATATTTTAAAAGCAAATAAAACATAGTTCATATTTGAATATTATATGAAATCCACAGTATTAAAACCTTCTCTTCGTTTATAGTTTTTCTTATCTTGTATAGCTTCTTCCAGTGCCGACATAATGTTTAATTGTTTCAATGATAATATTCCAAGACCTTTCACAATACCCGCCAGTCCGTAAGCGGCTCCCCTTCTTTCGCCATATTGACCGGATTCAAATAGCTAATTATTTCAATTAGTACAGCACAGTATTACAACACTGAGGTTCTTGTTAACACATTCGCATGCAGGCAAGAACATTATACTATCAAACCTGTTGTAACATTCTCTTTATTAGATCTGGAACTTTATGTTTGACAGCAGGTATTACAGGAGGCAAACAATTAGCTACCGCTTGTTGAACCTTACGTTAATTAAAACAGTAAATTAAAATCTTTAATGAGTGATATTTGCTAAAGCAGATAATTATCATGAAACTACTTTACATTTAAAAATTCGATTAAGAGAGCATATTTACCGGCTGCGAGGGAGTTGACAATGTGTCCAAAAGTTTATCGATGATGGGTAACATCTAAAAATTTTTAAAAATTATAATCATTATCAATTTACGAATCCAAAATAGAGACGAATGCGTACAAAAATGAAGTCAGCAACATACCTTAGGATCATCCTTATCCAAATGTTTTGCTAGAGAGCCCATAACGACAACAACAGCTTGCCTAATTGCATCTTCAGCGGAAGTATTAGGAGCGTTATCAAGGTAACTTTGCAACGTCGGCAGTAAGTTCCCTACAACAGCCTACAATATATGTATTGTTACCATCATCTTTTATCATTAGGCTTATCTCTACGCCAATTAGGGTTAATATACTCATAAAACATTGCTAATCTGACAGAAGCGTCACGGCAATATTAGTTCTATATTTACATATTAGGGACAAACCTTGCCATGCTCATTTATAATTGCTAATGCAGCGTCAAGCATATGCTTTCTAACATTTTCATCGCGATCACCAAGACTCAAGGGGACGAAAAAATTAAATATATTTGATACCTGTTTGAAGTTCGAAATGTTAATTGATGATGGAGAGAAAACACAACCATACTTAATGTAACAGCAAACAATAAGCTATGCTTTACATGATTTTTGCTCATCAACGGAGCCATCAATTCTATAGTTTGGCCAAGGCCACATCTTGCACGCCATTTATCTTTAGGTTCTTCATCATTTCTACGCCCCATAAGGTCTCGAGTTGGTTGTATAAGCTGAAAAATGTGAAGTAATTATTTTAATACTGATATTAACTTACAATTGAATTATGAGTAAGTGTACCTACAATTAGATTCTTATCATATAATTCCAAAATTTGCTTAATGACAACATCGATCTGATCTGGATACTTGTTCACGGCAGCAGTGACAGCCATAGAACTGATTTTTCTGAGCATTTCATCATCATTAACTACAAACTCGAGTAAAGTCGCGCAAATACCAGGCTCTAAAGAAAAATCTAGATCCTCCCATAATCTGTCAAATCATAGAACATTTAATTCATTTTAATCTTAACACGTTTTCTAAATAAAATTAGTTACCTTTTCGAAAGATTTGCAACGTCTTCATTGGTATCAAATCTCAATACCCAAATGGATTTCAAGAAACTTGTACAACGCAGGCGAGCATCATCGGCGGAAATGTTTACCGATTTTAAATCTTTAAGGCAACATAAGGTACAAGTCATGCCTAGAAGACCGGATAACACAGATTTTCTCAAAATAACTTCCGGTGACATTAACCCCAATAGCAGGACATCAAGTTGCTCAGCTGTAACGTTTCGATAACAATTTTCATCGCCAAGAGTGCTACACAATCGCTCCAAACTATCGCATGCTACTCGCTGCACGAAATTTCATGTTAAGTCAAAAAATTGTTGGATCAAGTAAGTTAAGGTTAATATTGGACAAATTTACCTGTAAGTTAACTTCTTGAATTCCACTGACGGGTAAAGCTATGAAATCTATTAGAAGGGAAAGCATATCATACGATGGAAGGAATTGTGGATCGTCCTGTAAGCAAACCCAGTTTTTTCAATAATGATTGTTAGTCTTATACACAATAAGATAGGGCTTGTAAAATATTAGAATATAATTATATGATATAAAAAGAACGTACCTCACTAACAGTACTTGATTCGGTTGTAGCTCGGCTAATGCGAAATTGCGAATGCTCACATATAACTGCCAAAGCTCGTTCCAGTAACTCGTTACTTCGTTCTATTGTTGTTACAATATAACGTAGTAACGGAAAACAGTAAGAAAATGCATAGGTTGATAATTTCTTATTGATTTGTACGGTGTTGTGACCACTATCCTTAGTAGATAGTCTTTGATATAAGCGTTCCATTGATAAACGAATATGTGATTTAATATCAATCATTCTCCATTCACTGTCTAGGTTCGTATCAGATTCCGTAATACGAATAGTACATGATATTACAGTATCAGCTGTAATTCAGGCATAAACAAAATGTTAGTATAAAATACAACCGTCTCATATCTAGCTAGATTAGAAACAGTGCGAAAGAGCAATAAATAAAAATATATAAATTTACCCAGGAGTGTATCTTCACGATTGGTAAAAGCACAAGTACGAAGTTTATAACATAATATTTTCGCATATGATTTGGCAATGGGAGATTGAATTAGAGATAATAACACCGGTAGTAAACTAGATACATGACGTTGCAAGCAGCCTGGATTTGAATTGATGATGGACTCTAGTATCTGCGAGGACCTTGTAAGCGATGTATCTAACTGTGTGCATTAATGTGAGAATAATAATTATTCTTATGATACCCTGTGGTACGTAATTGCAAGGTACCAAGTTGTAAGCTTATCGGTCTTTATGAAACTTACCGATTTTAGTCTTGCACGTATTTCAGATTCTTTCTGTAACTGTGCTTTCATCAGCTCACGTTGTTTACTATCTAATGCTGCCATGCCAGATTCTTTATTGCCTTTTCGCTTACTGATTTCCTAAGATACAAGGATGAGGTTCAATATCGCACTATCAAAGCTACCAACACTGAAATAGCGGATTTTCTTTACAAGCATTATAATAGAAGTAGTACACTTACACGTCTAATTTCATCATCCATTAATTGATCTTCATACGAATACGCTTTCGATTCTCTTTTGACATTTTTTGCTCTACTATCGGCATTTAAGCTATAGAATTACAGTCATCAACATCATTTTTTGTAATTATCATTTGGTTTTTTGAAAGCAAATTAAAAATTTCGACGAAAATAGTAATAACCTTGCGATCAAATTTTGATTCGACAATTCTCCTTCAGGACATAAAAAAATTTTGTAATCTTCGTCCGAAATATTTAGCAAAGCCTCTTGGTTGAAATCTTGCAGAACATTATTAACCATTGCATCGACAAATTGACTTCCAACAACTTTAGAAAGAGTTTCTATGACATTCCTGACACCCTATCATAGTAATACTGTATTACAAACTGGTAAAAAGGTAGCATATTAAAAGAAATAAAAATAAAACTGAACCGAAAAAGAATACCTCAAACGACGTACGACTTTCCTCCATCATAGCAATAATTTCACCTAATCGACTTTGGACACATTCCTTAGCAATTACACCATTACTTTTTAATAGCTTTAACCAACATCGTCCGTCAACTATAGCTAAAGGTAAAGTATGAGAATTTCTATAGCGTGATAGCAATAACAGTGAATTATATGAACCGATGACTTCTACCTATATCGGGTTCGTGAGTATCAATCAAGATTTTGACTGCTAGTTCTTCATTAAATTGGTTACTAAGGTGTGCAGTTGCTGATGCTTCAAAAATTGTTTTAAGAGCAAAGACGAATATTTTTCTAGTCTTTTCCTGATTGCTACTACCTTCCTCTTTAGACGTATCAGTCTATACATATATACACATACACATATAAATCGAACATACAGCCTAAGTAACTAATTAACTTGACATTATTAATACATATAAGATTTCCTAATATTTCAAACCTTCTGAGATAAGCAAACTCTATAATGTTCTCTAAAGCATTGTAGTAGACAATCCAGTACATGAACTCCATTTAGAGTAATAGACTTCAAAATGGTTACGACATCTCTTGCTCCTTTACGGATTGCCCAACTATCATGTGTTAATCCATGAACAATGACGCTAGCAAGTGGGCTTTAAGCAAAAAATAATAGCACATATTGAATTACTTCCAGATTTACCCAACTAATAGGTATAAACAGTAGTGTCAAAGAACAAATAATGTTCCTTAGTATTAACCTTAAATTTTCTGCGGTTAGTTTAGAAGAGTGACATTTCAGGAGTATTTCAACGAATTCTAATACTAGTGCTAAATCTGTAAATAATGAGAAATTGTTATCAAACAAAAAAATTTCTAATCTAGTATTAGATAAGAGCTGCATATTAGTATCTACTACCTTCGTCACTACAATTGTTCATGAATTTATCGGAAGTAAATAGTTTGGAATTTGCATTAAGCACAGCTGACCAAAATCCAGTAAAATCGCAATCTATATTAAGTGTTTCATAACATCAGAAATTCAAATATTTTCCTTTGTATTTTTAGCTACATCCTAGTACAATTTACCTGACGCTTGTCCAGCTACACTTAACTTGCATAAAATAATGGCAGCTATTAAACCCTCTATTCTTGATGGTTGTTGACTAATTTGGGAAGTACACTTACTAAAGACCTAGTAAAGTTGACATCCAACATTACTCTTTTCATAAAGCATAGCAAAATCTAATCACAGTTTTAATACCTCTAGAATAGAACCTAGTACTGGAGCTCCGTATTTAAGGCAATCACCTTTATTTTCAAAGGCATAAAAATGAAGGTTATACTCGACCTTACTTCAAACAGACAGTCAATAATCAAAATTGTATCATTGATGCAACCATTTCTAACCTTTAAGGCATTTAGCTAAGAATTTCAAATAAGCAACACGTACGGTAGGTGTCGAGGCTTTATCAAGTGATCCATTCTTTAACAGATCAATTTAATCATTTAAGTATAGAATGTAAATAAGATTTGAAATAAATCAATCCTAGCATCTTAAACGGTACCTTTAAATATTCAAACAGAAACTTGGGTATTTCCGAAGTAATTGCTTCTGCCCATAAATTTATCACCGATATTGCATATATGTGCGATCCTTCATGAGCTAAACAAATTTGTTGCATTGTATTAAAAAAATTGCAACGTTTAATGAAAATGACAGTATCCTATTCTTACTTTCTTGCTTTGTATAATTTACGAGCTCTTGGCAAGCAAAGATAGCCAACTCTTCTTTTTTAGAGCTACCACTAACACTGTGATAACTTATACATCGGAGGCCTGTAATTGTATTGTTGCCATATCACAAACATTAAATAGTTTTATTTAATACCTAGCAATACCGTACATAATTATATCATCTTCATATTTTTAATAACCTTCTAAAATAGATACACGTTGTGTCCAAGCAGTTATTTTTCCTTCAGAACCTAAGACAAGAAATATCATGAGAAACCAATGGTAACTTCGTAAGTTTACGTCAATTTACAAAAAGGTTCAACATAAATAAAAAGTGTTTTATATGTATCAAAGATACTGTCCATCTTTTATGTTATAAAACCAATCTACCTTTCAATATTGATAACAAATAGTTAAAAAAACTTTTTGTAGCACCAGAGTCTGTACACTGGCGAATAAAATTTTTAATCATCAACGATGCTTCTTTGCAAATTTCTTGCTTGGATGAACGGAGCGCAGCTGAATAAAATATAGTAAAAGTAATTAGCTACTAATTTTATACAATTGAATGTTTACAAGAGTACAATGACTTATAGTTCAGCTTACAGGCGGTAATTTTGGAAATGTCCATCAGATATTGACTTAGATCAATTCTGACCGAATCGAATAAGAATGGCATACCTGCGATCGAAATATAAAGTGTAAGCGTTATTACAGATATAAGTCTAATCTAAAACTATGTTATGGCTGTCAAATTTTTGAAAAGATGAAGTTTAATATCACACATACATATAATAGCAACATCGAGGTTACGTAATGCAGCTTTTTGGACCGCTGGAAGGACCTTTTCTTTAAATTCAGCGTGATCGATATTATATATTAAGTACTTTGTCCAGATCTAACAAACGTGCGGTAGAGAGAAGGTAACAGATTATTATAAACTCTTTGTATATCTGTAGACGATAGTTAGTAAAAAATACTGTACAATTTATTACGGAAGCAATTTCAACGGAATTAAAGTAAATAATATTTGTAGTAGCAATTTGATAAATGTAATAAAAGTAACATAGCAGTCTTACCAAGATGTGTCTGGGAGGGACAGTTTTACTATTAATCACTGTTTTCAAGAATAGATTGAGCAGTTGTCCCTGAATATTACAGAAAACATATTACCGAAATTACTGTAAGATGTTATAAATTAACATACCAATTCATTCAACACATCTATTACAATTACTGTAAGATAAGTAAAATGTTGACTTACTTTATACTTCGAAATAGTCCCATTATCACGTAAGGATATCAAATACTTTAAGATCACCCCTAACATACTGAGGTAGTACTGTGGAGTGGGAAATTGTAAATTTATTCAATAATTTTTCAATGTATTAGATAATAGGACTAATGCACAGTCTTTGCTATACTTTTTACCTGCTCACCATCAAGGTTAGTGATAACGTCTAAGTATACAGTCGCTAACTCTGGAAACTAGATAAATAAAACGACAATCGCATGATATAATCCCATTACGGCTTCATAGCACTAGTATGGAGTTCTGTCATTGGTAGATAGCAAAATCACATTTAATATCTTCACTCTGAAAATTACCAGTTTAAAATTATTGACCAAGTATCTATTCGCCACGTTTACTAGTCTTTCATTATTGCTAGAAAGAACGAAATCCAATAGCTGACTCTGCATAACGATCTATGATTGAAATATGAAATAGGGTCATAATTCAAACGTTATATTATGTAAGTCACATAAGAACTAAAAGAGTAAATTGGATGAGATAACCGTTCGATATAACGTACAAGTTTATTCAGTGCAGGACTGGTAAATGTTTTAGATGAATTGAATACTGTACGCTGTATGATGCAGAGCCAATTTAGCATTATTAATACCTCCCTAGACGTTGATGTGCTATAAAAAGTAAAAGTAGTGTACAAAATTCTTAGCAAATTCTACACTTACGATTTCTGTATGGATACGTATATTGATTGATATCAATATACTCAAGACATTAACGAAGACATATTCCTTATGAGTTAATTAATAACTTACGTGCTTAGGCGACCAAGAGTGAATGCAGCTTCTTGCTGTAATAGTGGTAACAAGCACTTGATAGCCAATTTAGCTATTGAGATTAAAATAAATTGATAGTCATTAGCTTCCGTTGAGAGATACGATTAGATGTCACTCTAGGTGTACATGTAAGATAATTATTCCATAGAATGATAGATATTATACAACTCACATACTCGAACAAAATATCATAATTACATTATCCTGTTGTAACTACTATAAAATACTTTAAATCACTTGAAATAATACAAAAATGAATTTCTACTTGCATCATAACTGTACACAATGCAATAGCAATTAATGCTATATAACTTCAACTTTACCAGTCAATTGTTAAGCCTATATGGTACTGAATATAAAATATATGTAACGTATTTGCTGTATCAAAATAGATAACGCATTCGTTAGTATACTGTATTGTAAGCGTTACTTAAGTTGTCACAGATATGATGCTAATATTGCAAAAGTAACAATACGTCGATTACGTTTGTAACAGTTTACATCAATTAAATATTTTTAGAGATATTTGAAACTTAAGAAATTTACCATGAGATCCAGCCAAGGTATGTATGACACCAGCAACTTTTAAGCGATTTCTCCGAAGTCTTTTTTAAAATAGTAAACATGTAAAAGGAGCAAAGGTAAATTATCTATTGAAGATATACATGATGTAACAAAGTACCCTATTCAGTAATAATATAATTATTATTAAAAAAGGAGATTACTAATGTATCGTAGGATAACAAGCAATACATAGTTTGAGGTAGGTGAAGTGAAATTTTCAAGAGATTAATTTACCGAAGATTTCTCACAGACAGCATGAGATGATAGCATATTTGTTTGACTGCATCTTCTGGTAAATCTGTCATAACGTGAAAGCCAAATTTGAAAGTTAAGTACAGAGAATAATTGATTGGCTGTAATAAACGCAGTAGGCACAAAACTAGTGCGTCCAGTAGCAATGGCAAAATTGATTAAAACAAATAGGGTAGAATAGTTCAGTCCATGATTAAAGAGCTAGTATTTCAGATTATTGTATTTCTATATTCTATCTAACGTAGTATACTGAGAAAATGTTTTACGACATGTACTCGTATATACGCGTATGCACTGAATTTATAGTACTCCATTTTTGCAATCAGTGACTATCTGGATAGAAAATCATGGTCACAAAGTTACTTTTCTGCTTTAATGTACGTTTGTATGCAAATGATACAATGTATTTAGTATCTCTGTATGAAACTGAAGTAACATTATTAGCTTCTCAATATTTGATCCTTTTTCAGCTGCAGTGCGCGTATTATATGTTAGTCTACTCGTACATTTAATCTAGAGTAGTGTAGTAATGAAAAGGTTCAGCAATATAATCCATGTATCGAATTTATAACACTAAGATTTTGCAGGCAAATAACCATCGGGATAGAAAGATATAGTGATGAAGTCGTTTTTTTCTGATTTAATATACGGTTGTACTTTAATTATGTAATGGAATTACTGTATCTATTGTAGAACACCAACATCGTATTAGCACATTGCTTCAATATCTGATCTTTTTCAGCTTTATTACATGTCTTTTAACCTCCATAGTATTACTTTTATCATAAAATCACACATAAAGCTGCTATAAAGTCTTTTTTCTGCAATACACAGACGATTCCTAGCATTAGCTGATGCCTACTATCGTTATCCATTCTACGGATAAGTATCAATTCAAAAGTAGAACATTACCCTTGTTGGCAAAGTAAGCAAGGATTGTATTATTTCGGAATAGGGCATGTTGGAAAGCTGCCGATGACATATTTTCTAACATCAAGACATTTTCCTGAGTTGGCAATCGATGTCGATGTACAAAGCAAAAGAAGAGAGATTATTTATTTCATTCCTATGCAGTGACAATGCTGGATCGATCAACCATGACTGTAATCAGTATTGCAGTCTTACCTTTTCTGTATTGGCCATCACTGGTTTATGGGAAAATGTGAATTCAAAATTCAATTTTCCAGAGTATTTCTGTATACACGAGCAGCTTCCGCTGTGTATTTCTTAAGAATCTTTGATGAGTAAAATGGAAAAAATTAATTTTACATACGAGTAGAATTGCAAGTTGATCAGCTGACTGCGCTAGTAGCCATGCTGTATCCCAGATCTATTTCATACTTGATTTGTATACGATCGTTGATAGGGCTGGTGGTCAACACCTCGTATAGTTATCTCAAGTTTTTACTGAATTATTCATCCAATACAGATGCTGCTTACCTTCGCTTTCGTTAGTATAATAATCAACAAGAAGAGTCCAAGTGGTTTTAAAATTAGTTTGCAGGCCTCGACAATCACTTTGGATCGCTTTCCTTTCAGCAAGGTCCTTGCTGATTGTTCCCCTAGAATGTACAGTACAGGACAGTATAGGTTTAGACTGTACACTGTACAGAATGCATGACCATGCTTTGGGGGTAGCGAAAGGGTGGCCAGACCACTGTATTCTATTCTCATACGTACACTCGTTCAGCATGCATTATCACAGTACTGGTATAGACTGTCGACTACTGTTCAAGCCTAGTACCATCGTCTATACTCTAGCATACAGTATAACACCACCAAGGATTGGTTGCCCGTCTCGGCGTGTTCCACACACCTTGCTTGAACTGACACATAGACTTGTAGAAGAAAAATGGAACGCTGCACCATCGTAGCAGCGTTGGATTATATTTAATTATCACAGCTACTACTTTTATTAAGGCTGCTTAAAAAGCGACTAAGGAACCGCGAATAGTTGTGAATAAAACCTCTGCATCATAGAATTGATATTTTTTCGTTTAACCGTGTCGTAATTTCAGCTCATTACAGTAGTTTTGTATAGGCAATACAGTGATGGTATGTCGTGTAGAACTTAGGGATTTGCTCGATTTTAACAACTCAGAATTTTGACTTGACGGATTACGAACCTAGAGCTAAGAACCCGTATACTACAAACTGTGTTCGGCTATAGGCCGTTATTACACCTGTGCAGCGCTATAATTGCTTCTATGCTAGCACTCCGTATTAAATTGCGTCAACCGACACCTGTCAGCATTTCCGTCTCAGTATATGCAAATTATTCCACTACTACAGCATTAAGGCATACTAGTTTGTCATAGTTAAGGTTAATAATACAGAGATAAAAATAATTTGAAGAACGCAATTGATTCTCTAACACTACTACAGCATAAAGGCATACTAGTTTGTCATAGTTAAGGTTAATAATACAGAGATAAAAATAATTTGAAGAACGCAATTGATTCTCTAACACTACTACAGCATAAAGGCATACTAGTTTGCCATAGTTAAGGTTAATAATACAAAGTTAAAAATAATTTGAAGAACGCAATTGATTCTCTAGCATCCCATGCATCCATATCTTCATTTATTGAATTGAATAGACCTATAGCGGGCAAGCCTAGAGGTGCTATAGGCGGATCTCTTACATTCCTACAGTTTACATACGTGTATTGGGGTGAACAAGGAAAATTTCAATAGTACTCGTAATGATTGATTAACTGACTAAATCATACGCTTTCTTACGCGAACAAATTTTAGCAGCTAATAACTTTGTGTACTACAATCTTTCTTACTATACCGTATAAACATTATAATCATATACAACCAGCCAAAATATCACAATCTTAAGGCATGAGCTAAGGTTAGGGATATTTACGTATACAGTAACCGTTTCCATAGCATAATCACTAAATCAATTAAAACTATTTTTCCAATGTGGTTATTTCATTGGCTGGAAATTACTAATATAGTACTGTACAATCTACATCGAAGATCAACTCAAACAAATGACGTAGCAATCCACTTTCTAATCCAAATACCTCGTTTCATATTAGCGCACACCCCAGAATATTTTATTACAAACATTTACAAAGGAATTAAAATGCCGTCTTATTTAAAATAGTAATAATCAATATGCCCTTATATCATTAACATCTAAGCTGAATCTGAGTTCTTATGGTCAGAGAATGAATAATAATTTCCACTAGAGATTGATGTAATAAAAAATAAAAAATTAAGTAATGTGTATTCCATCTCTTCTTGCTAAGCTGAAAGTAATATACATGAAAACAAATACAGGCCTTATTAATAACAGCATTTAGTCTGATGAATATGATACTACCGTTACAATAAGAAACGATTTAAATAATCTTTCAAGAATTGTACCTGTATTCTTTATAAGCCTATTTATAACAAGAAAAATGAACCTGCAATTATTTATTGAAATCTTATATAAAATTAACAATTCCCGAATTACTCTGTAAAGATACCCTCTTACTTTGTATATTTTATGACGTACGATACACAAATTGCATCGTTACTGGCTTTGAACATACACAAATTTAATTTAAGTGCAATATAGCAATCTACCGAAACACACATTTATGGAGTAATATCTATAGCACAGTTTGCAGTATAGTGCAGTATCTGTAACAGCCTACTACACACAGGTCTGTGCATTATTATTTATAGTACCACCCATATCACGATTTTCTGATTGATGTTGTGGTATTTTCTTCGATGCCGTCACTTTCGATTTGCCAACCTTTCTACTCGATATTTGGCCGTTTTCGATGGCCTCATTTAAAGGTGTTCTCTGTACGCTTTGCTTGCTATGGATAGATTTAATACCTTTACCTTGTATCGCAATCATCTTTACTGAATCGCTGTGGACACTTCCTACATATATGTATCCTTGTGTCAATGCTGGGCCGAGATAGCGAGGACTGGCAAGATTCATCAGATGTCGTGAGACAGAACTAAAAAGTATTAAAGAAATGATTATGTCAGAAAATTGTTACTAAGTCAACTAAACTGCATCAAATTATACCATAATTATTTCCATTAATGTAAATTATACATCAAGAGAAATAATAATTAAATTATTAACATAAATAAACATTTAAGATTATTTGCTGGTTATTGACATAAGCGTAAAAAACCTGTTATCTGGATGGATTTGTATGATTTCCATAGAATTAAAATGGGTGACGTACAGGAATGGCTCGCGATATACTATATGAATATTAATACATTAATGTCAGACGTAAATTTAAGATAGTTAGAGCTGTATAATCCTATAATACTAAAATAGCTAATAGTATACGTAATATATTACAGAATTAATTTACCAAAAGTAAGAGGCAATCTTGACCATTTTAAATCATCCTTTCTAGTCCTTTTTCCGCACTCATTTACGAATATGCCAAATTCTAGTTAAGTACACCAAAAAAATACCAAACTTGTGACAACAATAAACATGTTTACTACATACGTCTATACTGTATCAACATCATCAACTTTCTTAAGATTTCACTTTGCCACTTACCAGAGAAACAGAGCAAATATTCTTCGTCTGAAATCTTAATGCATGCAATAGGAAAACTGCTAGCTGATGATACACCATAAATTGCAAATGCAAGGGAAGAATCATCACGGTCCAAGAATTCTTTTAAAATAGGAGAAATGAATACAACGCTTAATTGTTGCTCGATATAATTGCTATTAAAGAAAAATTTAATATGCGCCTATTTTTTAAAATAATAAACTACATGTACGTATGTAAAAGCACATATCTTTTACCATTTATTTCATTAGTTTTCAAATTAATAATGTGATATCTATCCGTTCCTATAATAACTCCTGAATTTGTAAATTGAATACAGCTGCATGGTTCCTGGGTTGCAATTTCCTAATTTCAAATAAATATAGTATAAGCGTAAGATAGTGTTGCGGTAAATTACAATTTAAAAGTAGCATTTAGTATTACTAAGTTCACCTTTTTAATGCAGAATGTTTTATCTTTTGCAGAAAATTCAAGTAAAGTTGTTTTATTTTGTAATGCTGCACAAACGTAAAGGCGTCCATTAATCTGCAAACATATCATAAGTAATTTTTAATTTTAGATCGCTATCCATCAACTGTATCAATATATATATATATATATATGTAAGCTACATATTTACTCGTGCGGATGAAAATAGATGGCATGAATGAATATTTTGCACTGTATTTATAGCCAGCTTCATCTGGGGAAAAGTGCCAGCCTTTTTGGAAAGATCGTCTCTATCAATCCAACACAACTGCTTATCTTTACCTTAAAAATAGAATTTACTCTATATTATTATCATTATCCAGTTACTGCTTTCATGAAAATAAGATAATATCAAACCTGTGATTAATATTAGCATTTGCTGATCGTCAGTATATTGCATTTGAAATACACCCGGTATCCCTGACAATTGATTGAGGCTACCGGAACGATGACTAGATTTGATACTGGATGAGTGTAATGTAAATAAGCCTTCTTCACAGCCAACAAAAACGTATTTCTCTTTACTTGGTAGAGTACAATTGATCTCCTTGACACTTTTACCATGTAATTCAAGTATTACATTTCCGTCAACTGGTCTGCTACTATCTTCTTGGTCGTCAATTAAATGTTCTAAAGCTTTTACCCAACGTTGTTTCTCAGTAAAATTGGATGCCATCAAATACATTATCTGAGATGGCCAACAAGCAGTAATAGGTCGTATTTCAATACCAATGATGAAAGGACGATCAGTCGAAGCAACGCTACTTAGTTCAACACTATTCACTTCGGCATTAATAACAGTTTCCGAATTTTTAAGAATCAAGCTAAATTCTTCCAGTGGACTTTCATCCCTTTCTTTATTATATAAAGCAATTCTATCCTCTGCTAATACAATCCATCTATTTTCCCAATTTTTCTTAGTACTACCTGGTCTTTTAACCTTCATCCAACCCTGCAATTTATGACCAGCAATTGATAATGAACTTTGCTGTTGCTTTATAGTATGTTTTTTATCAGTATCTGTTTTATTATTATTATTATTATTATTAATATCTACAGTTAGATGCTCTAATAATTCTAGCGGTAAACCGCAATTGTGCGGCAACGCAGGGGAACATTTAACATGGCAAGTAGTCTGGCATTCAGTACATTTTGCGACTTGGCGTCCAAAGTGGATACTATGTAGACATACACTACAGCTTACCGGGCGCATAGTAAGACAAGTAGTAAGCCTATGTGGAATGTTATGATGAATCCTTTCTTTAGAACGCTCATTAATAGGTTTATTAATAGACTCATTCATGGATGACTCATCGAGAGTGTTATCTAATAGCGATTTTTCACCAGCTATTTCCTTATCCATTAAATCAGTTAACTTTCTCTTTAATCTGCCTGTTTCTAACCTAGAAGCCTCCAATTCTGATCTTAAACGTGTAATCTTGCTTTTCAGTTGAATATTGTTAGCTTTTTCTTTGTCTAATAAATCTTGAATTTCCTTATTCGTATTACCATTGAAAGTCTTTCCTAATAGCTTCTTCTTCTTTTGTGTTCCTGATGATTGTATATAATCGATCAGTTTCGATTGCTGCATAGCAGTTGCTTGCAACTTCATTTTTTCTTCATTATGCATATTTTGTACTAATTCAAGCTGACTTTCTAATTCGGCTATCTTAATCGAGAGCATTTCTTTCTCTTCACTTGTGCTTTCAATATCTTGGTTTAAGATAAAGTTCGCTTTCCTAGCGGCTACTAGATCGTTTTGACACTTTCGTAGCTCCTTTTCAGCCTTGCGATATAGCTTAGTTTGATGTTCGAATTGTTGCTTTAATGATTTATTATCTAATTCAAGGACTGTTTGTTTCCTTTCTAAAGCACCCATATCGTTATTCATTATAGCTGACTCCTTCTTGTATTCCTCAAGTTGTTGATAGTATTTTTCAACATCTTTTGTATGCTTACTAAATGAATCTTTTTGCAAATTTTCGAATTCAAGAACTTTGTTTTCGAAATATAATCTTGACTGCTTTTCAGTCTCTAAGCTAGCCTTTGTAGATGCAATTGTTCTTTCCGCTTCATCCATATTATTCTCAAGTTCAACTTGCAGCTTATTGTAACTTGACTCTTTAGCTTCTAATTCCTCATTAATGTATTCCAAATCTTGAATTTGTGCTTCAAGAATATTGCATGTCTTTCGTAGGGTACTAAGGGTCAATTCTTGATTTTCGATGTGACTTTGTTTCTCTGCAAGCTGTTCTCGAAGTTCTTCACAAATTCTTTTCGATCGATCAGTGCCATTCTTAAGTTGCGATAATTCTCTTCTGTAATTATCGCATTCGTCCCTCACCATGTCAAGTTGTTTTGCTTTTTCATTTAATTGATTTTTAAGACTATTAATTGCTTCGTTATCACCCTTTGTAGATTGTAATTTATCGCTATTGGCTTTTAATAGAGCTTGCAGTTCATCTACTCTATTTTTAAGTTTACGTTCACTCTCCTTCATATTCATGATCAAGTCAGCATCTTCTGCAGATACACGTTCAGATCCTGATAACTTCTCTTTCAAATCAGTAATTCGATTTTGGAAATTTTCTTTATTTTCGATATTCTCTTTATCAAGTTCATTAATTTGAGTAACAAGAGCTACAGTTTTCTGTTTTTCCAAATCTAACATATTGTTTGATTCTGCTAATTGTCGCTCGAGATTTTCCTTTTCCGATTTCCAGTTTTTGATCACTTCTCCTTCAACGGAATTTCTAGATGAATGACAATACTTTTGACGCCGTAACTCGAAAATTTCATCCTGTAAGCTATGATTTGTGGCTAAAAGATTTGTATTTTCATCTTTGCATTTTGAAATATTGTTATTTAACTTTTTAATATCATCACTTAGTGCAATCTTATTTATTTCAAATCTTTTTCTATCACGAGTCCACAATTTCATCTGATGGTCATATTCGTCGCCATTTTCCTTTATTTTATCTTCTAATTTTCTACAAGTCCTTTCTGCCCTTTTTTGTGCTCTTTCAGATGAAGATAATTTCTGTTCCAATTCGTCTACTTGTGATAGAAGACTATTACATTGCGTAGTCTTCTTTTTTAGCATTTGACTAAGTCTAAATTCGGCATCACCATTTGCTACTACTTGTCGTATTTCTCCAAGTTCACTTTCCAGGCATTTCTTCTCACTTTCCAATTCTTCAATTCGATTATGCATATCGGATTCATTAGCATTCTTTTTTAACTCATCTATTTCATCTTGCATTAATGATTTTGTCCTCCTTAAATTTTGTATTAATTCAGTAGCTTCAATGTTAGACTCGTTAGCTTTGGACAATTTGTTTTGATAATCCTCCATGCGAGTTTGATATTCTGCATTAACTTTATTTAACTGAACTTGTAGTGTATCCGCACTTTTCATAGCATTTTCATTTAACTTGGCGCATTTAGATTGATACTCTGAAATTCTTTGCTTCTGATCTTCATTTAGCTGCTTTTGATTCAGTACCTCTTTCTCTAATCGTTCTATCTTCTTAGTTAATCCATCCATGTCACACTCTACCTTAGTCTTAATTTCTTCTAACTCACGGATCTTCTCATCTTTCTGCTTTAAAATTTCTTCTCTTTGATTCATTTCTTCGACTTCAGCAAGCAATTTTTTCTTGTCTGGCTTCTCGCTATCAGATAAACCCAACGTAATTCGCCTTTTTAATCCTTTCACTTCAGTTTTATTCATTGCAAAATCTTTTTCTAATTTATGATTAGTTTCTTGCAATCTTTCTACAAGATCATTTTTTTCTTCAACAGTAGACATAAGCTCTTCAATTGTAGACTGTAATTGGCTATTTAGTAACTTTAATTCGTTACGATTAGCCATGGCTTCTTTCAATTCCTCAGTTTTACCTGCATAACGTTTCTCAAGATCCTGAAGACAATTTTGATTACTGTTATCAATTCCTAAATTGATCGGTTGCCCATCAGATAAATCTTTTATGTACGTAAAGCCTGCAAATGGTAGCTGTTTCTTCAGTGTCTGTAGGTCAGTTTGAAAATCAGCTGCAGTATTACTTGCATCATCAAAAGTATCAAAATATGCAATATCCCCATATCCATTCAATTCTGGTACATGAGGTGGCACAGTACTACGCAATGTCGCCCAATTAATGCCATCGAAAAATGGATGGCAACCAAGGCCATTGTAGGCTAATCGTTCTGACTGATCAGTAATTAATTCTTTAAGAAGTAACTTAGCGCTATCGCTAACAGATACATGTGGTGGAATGCTAAAAGTATCCTATTTTTTGAATTTTTTAGATAGAAAATTCACATTAACCAGGACTATTTTCAATTAAAGTTCGATGTAAAAAATTATTATTGAATCGTCAAGAAGGCTGTATTTATCTTTTTGATCCGAAATATATTGTTATCGTAAATTTACTTACCTTATAACCCATAATACGACCATATGTAGATATAATGGTATCACCGGTAAAAGGAGTTTGACCGAATAACATTTCATATATCATAACTCCTAGTGACCACCAATCGCATTCGATACCGTAAGTACCACCATATTCGAGGCCAGATAAAACCTCCGGAGCAATATAATCTGGTGTTCCGACTGGCATTTTTGAAAGTACCTGTTAAAAACCGATCAATTATAATAAATTTTTGAAATAAGTTATTAAAGTACAGAAAATCAACGGTAAATAATAATGACGAATTAAGGTTTCAATTCTAACCGTATTATTAGGAGATAGTCGTGCAGCAGAGCCAAAATCTGCTAATTTAACGTGGCCTGAGCTATCTAGTAAGATATTATCAGGCTTTATGTCTCTATAATTTAAATCAGTTAGTGATATGATTATAACAAGGTGTAATTTCTTAGAAAGTAAAAAAATCGTACCACACAGTACTTAATTTACATTATAGATTAAAAGCTAAATTTTTGAATGAACTATATTCTACTAACCTATGAACATAACCCATCATATGTAGGCTATGGATGGCTAAAACACATTCAGCTGCATAAAAACGGCATGCGCTTTCCTCTAATCGATTATCGCATCTGCTTAGTAAAGATAACAGATCGCCTCCAGGATGAAATTCCATAACCAGATAGAGAAAGTCATCGTCATGAAATGCATATAATAATTTAGTCAACCATGAACTATTAGCTTTGGCCATGATATCTCTTTCTTCATTAAAGAAGCAGATCTATAATATAACATTGATAATTTTATTTTTTAATATGGATACATCATTACAATTGAATTTTTGAAGAAAGATTTAGATGCAGAAATTTAATATTTCGTATATATCCGTGTATAACAACTATAAGCGTATCAAGTGTTGACTTACCTCATCTTGAGAGAGTGTTTCACTCTTTTTCAGAACCTTCATTGCATAATAATTATCTGTTGTATTCTTTTCTTTAACAACTTGTACCTACAAAAAATTTCGATACAGTTGTAAGGGTGCAATAAGGAAATTGTGTTGAATTAGAAATAACCGAATGACTTCGTCAGCTTAAGACTAATGTATTGTACTACTTTATAGACGTAATGCTTATTTACAAAATGTAAGGTAGAAAGAGCATAAAGTATCTACCCCTAAGTAGATATCGTATGCGCATATGTATAGCTAAAATAGATGGATAAAGTAAGTAGATGACATTTCAAGCTGTTCTGAAAACAATCGTCACAAAACTTCAAGCTAATCGTCACTGAATAGCTTACGTACTCCAGTAGAGCAAACAGCTATATCATGACATTTAGTGACTATAATTACAACAAGTTACCCCCCTAAAACAAGAGAATGCACATTACCTCTCCAAAGTGGCCACGACCAATGATGTGCTGGACCTCAAAGTCTTCCTTGTTGACGAACATGGTTCTTAGAGTATCGATAGCATCAGTATCTAGGAGAGATAATAAAATTCAATTTCTGCACATCGAAAATATACAGAATTATTGAGAAAAATCAATTTTAATTGTATCAATTGAAAAATGGACAACATACATTTATTAACGTATTTTATAGCATCTCGGCTAACACTCGTAGAACTGGAACTGTCACGGACGCATTCGTCATATAACATCAAGAAGCAATCAATAAAACTTTCCTTGCAGGAAACATCCTTCAATGACGGATGGACCAACTTGTTGCCAAAGAACTGATTTAGTTTGCCACTTTTTGAAGTTGCAGATTCCTCCATGGTAATAACAGCAATATTACAAATAGGATTCTTGAATAACAGAAAAGGAATGCTCTCCAATCACAACACAACTGGTGGAAAGTCGAGAGCGACTTTTTTTTCAATCGCTCCTTCAATGTTGTCTGTTAGTAGACTGCACTGTTAATATTTAGAATCAAGTCGATTGAATCGAACAGTCAGTCTTGAAATCTAAGGTATAGTATACTTACTGCTCGCCGAATGAACAGCAGATTGATTTGAAATGGGCAAATCCCAGCAATTTGGATGTTATATAGTACCTAAAGTACCGTAAATATCACCTCCTCTTTTTTTGAATTTGAAAATTCTGGTGGTGCGCTTTGATTGGCTGATTGCGAGGAAAAGGTTACGATACGGTACGGCACGATCCGTGACAGTACAGTACAGTACTGTACTGTACAGTACTGTACACTCAGGCTCTTTACTGTACACTGTACACTGTACAATATGCACTGTCGTGGACAGATGGACTACAGTACTAAAAGACTGGACTGGATATGCCTTTAGATGGACAGACGTTTGGCCAACTTTGGTCAACAAATTGTGTCAAACACTTCGTTATGACAGTACTAAATTTAGTATATAGACAGTCGATTCTAAATTGATTGATTTTGTGAATGAAGTAATATTACATTGTATTTCATAGGCTGTTAGTAAGCTCTGCTTGGAAGCAGTAACTTTAAACAATAAATGTTATTCAAATTAATCAGAGTGATTTAGAAAACAGACTGGGAAAATCCATACTGAGTAACTATTTTTCGCCATTGGGAGGGGGCCTCATCTGCTAGGGAAAGTCCGTCCATCCGAGGAGAGTGTCTACTGTCCGATCCAGTCTGGTCTGGTGTACAACTGGACTATAGTCAGTCTGTTAAGTTCATCGAGGTCAGAAGAATTTCTATGGTTGAGTTTGACTAGGAGACAGACGATGAGAGCAGTATTTTAAACTAAGGAAAAGGAAGAATGATCTCTTCTTCGAAGTATTGTCGCTAGAATTGTAACCATAACCGTACACCATATTGTGCAAAACCAAAAGGCAACCTGGCAGCTGGAGCACTGTCGTGTACAGTGCGTTAGTCTCCAGCATCTTGTAATTATAGTTTACTATATTACAACGATACATTATATTTCAATGCCAATAGGTAGTAAATAAAATAGAATTACAAGATGCCGGAGACTAGTGCACATACAGTAGCTCCATCCACCTTACATAAACTTGTTAGGACAGTTTCAGCTAAATATTCTAAGAACTATATGTAAGGGAAGGTGGCGGGGGCTAGTGTACAATGACCGATGGTCATCACGGTTAAGATAAATTAAATTGATCAGCAAAATAGGATAATAGTACAGTCCATACGTGGACGTAGAATGCCATGCGCAATTATACATCAATAAATAACTGCATGTCGAGAAGGAATGCATATATCTTTTACTGGTTTTATAGTTAATATGTCAATACACCGGCTTTGCCATTTTGACACTTTACAATGTCAACGTTTTCAAGTGCTATTGGTATTAAAATAAAATAAATTCATTCAAAGTGTCGATTCCGAAATGTAATGTGTGACACTATCCGTATAAACATATTGGAATTATAAGTTTATAATATCGACTAGAACAACAATCCATACAATATTAACTATGACTATGTGCTGAGCATGCTGAGTATAACATTAACTAGTTAATTGATAATGTTATTGTCACGGACTACTTCCTCACAAGTTTACAGTACTAGTCTAACGTAAAGTACTGACTTTGAGTTGCTTCTACAGATTACTACCCTAATCTGTCCAAAGATCTAGTCAGAATAGAGTACTGCTACTATAACGCTTAAGAACTACCCTTCTAAAAGGCTCATATGCTATAATACTGAAACACTGTCAGCAACAATATTTTCTGAAATTCTATAATTTAGGCAACGCAGTGCCGTAACAGTTATAGATTTATTATCATCAGTCTCATTCGTACTCCGTGGGTGCGGGTTAAGTTAGTACTGTATTAAAGAAACCATAAATATAATGATTAATCGAATAATGTGCTCGCTATTATATGTTGACAGGTTCTACTTTTAATTACGCATAAAAAATTGGCTTGATGAAAAATGAAATTGAAAATGATTTCTTTCAAAATTTTAATATACAGTACACCAGATGTATTCGCAAACGTTAAAAATAAATTGCTCACCACCAAGTTGCCTAAATTACTATATTAGAAGCTGACAATACAGCCTATAGCTGTTATCATCTCAATCACGCAAAATAGGAATCAGTCAAAGAGGGTAGATAAACAGCTAGTCATCCCCGTCGTAGCACCAGGTTAAAAGATCGCCATCAGTACTCGTCCGTCAGTATCTTACTTGGTCAATATTACAGCTTGCTACTGATTCGAGATTTTTCATTCTGTCGAATGACTCGACGTAAAATTTTACCACTAGCAGATTTCGGAATTGACTGGACGAATTCTACGCCACCTCGCAGTTGTTTATACCAAGCTACGTTCTCGGCTACGTACTTGATAATGTCTTTCGCAGAAAGCGAATCTGAAAAAGTTTCAGTTTATTAGCTAATGCAAAATATCTAAAAATACAAACGTCATAAAATATTACCTTTAGAATTTCTTAAAACTACGTAAGCTTTTGGGACTTCTCCTGCCGTTTCATCAGGAATTCCGATTACTGCAGAATCTGCTATTTGTTGATGATCATTTAAAATAGCTTCCAATTCAGCAGGTGCAATCTACAAAATGATTTTAAATTAGAATTGATGATATTGACAATATTAACAGCAGCAAAGGCTTAGATTATAAAATTAGCAATGCTCTCTAAACTAACCTGAAATCCTTTAAATTTAATCAGCTCCTTCAAACGATCTATCACAAATACGTTGCCTTCATTATCATAATACCCAATATCACCAGTATGAAGCCATCCATTTTTGTCAATAGTATCTGCAGTCGCTTGTGGATTGTTGATGTAGCCTAACATCATTTGCGGTCCCCTGAAGCATAATTCTCCAACTTCATTGAGCCCAACGGCTTCACCATTATCAACGTTGATAACCTATTGGGTAATTATCATAAAATTGAGGTAGATTACATGATGCTGATGATGTTTGTAATTAATCATTACTATTCTACAGAATTAATCAAAGAATATAATTTAACCTTGCAATCCGTGTTGGGAACTAATTTACCAACTGAACCAACTTTATAAGAGTTTAAAAATGCATACACCACCAGTGGGCCTAATTCTGTCATACCATAACCTAAGAATCCATCACATACAGAGAGATGACAAGTAAGTTATATAACGTCATGAATATATGACACGTATAATGATATAGACTTTACTTTATAAATAATTTAAAAATAGCGATTCAACTCTACCTTGATTAAACGTTTGTAATTTTAAGCGCTTTTGCAAGTCTTCACCAATTTCTGAGCTAACTGGGGCGCCTCCTGAACTAATGTAGGTTAAACTGGACAAGTTATAATTATCAATCAAAGGACTTTTAGCTAGAAACAATACCATGGCCGGCACACATAATAATTTAGTGACCTATAATTATGCAGAAGAAAAAAATGCCGTCTGTCTAAAAATCGATAAGGGATAACGTACTATTTACATTCAATCCATATTCAATCCACTCAAAAACTATAAATACCTTGTACTCTTGGATTGCATTCAGGAATTTCGTATGTATAAATTTCGATTGAAGGACTAAGCGACGTCCATTACATAACGTAAACGAAAGTATAGACACCAGACCATATACATGAAATAATGGTAAGACATTTAACAAACATTCGTCTTCAGAATCCATATTTAAAGCTCCAATATCACGATGACTAAAGTTCACCATATCAGCTATTAAATTATAATGGGAGAGCATGACACCCTTTGGTAGCCCAGTAGTACCACTCGAATATAAGATCACGGCAACATCTGATTTAGGGGAAACCTTGAACTTCCTAGGAGCTTTGTTAACCTTGCCGCTACAATATAGAGAATTTATGGTTATAAGGAGAAGAATCACACGCAAGCATTCCCAAAGGTCATTGTACTGTATGTCTTTATGATAAAAATTCACAATGAACATCCGGATTTACGCAACTGTGAGGATAACTTTTTGACGCTTTATTAAATAGATTTTAGTTGAATATTAACTTAATGATCTACCACATGAAATAACGCCCCTCATCTACAAAATCTATATACAGTCATGCTGTACAGTAAAGTATTAGCTTAATATAAAAAAAAGTAGAGTAAATATTTTGGATGTTTTTGCAACGACATTTCATGGAAACTTTCATACAGTCATATAGAATGCATGCTATGTTTATGCTATAAGCGAATAAATGAAACAGGGTAAATGAACCTACTTTATGAGATCGAACATAGCTTGATAGCTGTTATCACGGATTGGGGGTTTGCCAATAACAATTTTTCTTCTGAAGCTGTAGTTGACTTTTTTAACCGTATTGATACAACTTTCGTGAGTAATTATGTATGCCGGTTTCGAATCATTCAGCTGTCTTGCCAATTCATGCTCTGTGAAGATTGGGTTGCAAGTAGTCACGATACCACCTGCAGCTATAACTGCAAAGAAGCCGATAACAAACTCTAAGCAATTAGGACTTCGGATCATGACTACATCTTTGGGTTGCAATCCTAAACGAATCAGACCAGAGCAACATCTTTCAATCCGATCTCGCAATTCGCCATAAGTAATTGACTTCGCTTCTTCTTTATCATCATCAATCTATAATTTAAAAGATTAGCAATGTATTTTCACTACGATCAGAATCAATGATCAACAATACAGCGGAAACTCTTGTTGTAGACCTCCTTGTAAAATGGAGAAACTAAAAACAAACACAGTCATCATTTCACTAGGTAAAAGGTCCAATATTCGATACAATGCCAACGGGTATCTATCGTAAAATCGACTGACTACAGTATATCAAATGATGTGCTGTACTTGTATCTATCATTCCCTGAACTTTTAGCTTAATTGTACAGGTAATCGTATTTGCTTCAACTAATAGAGGCGATTGGAAATTGAAAGATAGCCGGTAAAAATTGTACCCCACCCATCAGTTCTATTCTTGTTTTTATATCTATCCTGTATATAATAATCTTATAATCTACTTTTTTTTTTAATTACGTATTCAAAATCATGTCAACAGAGTCGTAATTTCTATCTAGGAGTGATGATGATGAGTGGAGAATGTTGATGAATAAATTATCTTACGCGTATTCTCTACTTTTGTGCAAGACTGGTGAATTTTTGAGCAAGACATTTTTACGATAGGAGCTACGACAGTAGCTACAGAACCGATCAAACCTTACCAGGGCAATTCGATTATAATATTGATCGCAATTTCTGAAGATAAATTGGTAAAAGTCTATGTTGTCAGGTATGTGAATGTTGCCAAGAGTACTAGAAATGTACATCGTTGTTGCCAAAGGTGCTGGAAAAAAAAAATGCCAAATCAGAACTTTCGGTCGTAACAGATTACTACCAATGTTATTACTACCTGGTGTTCTATACTACTGTATACTGAAACTTCTTTCTTCAGCCTCCACATGTGACATTAGTTTTGCAAAGGACAAGATCACGAGACTGGGAGACTACTGAAAGAAGTTCCAGTACTGTCTATACTAGTAGCCGTAAAGCAATCGGAAGAGGCATACTGTAGCACTACCAAAAGATAATAATAATGCGCCGTCTATTACAGTACAGGGAGTATCATTGATCAAGGGGACCGCCAGTTACGAGCAAAAATCATATCACTATGCTCCACCAGACAGATTGCCACTGCTGTTTTGGGCGACTTCTTCTTCTCCTAGCTATCATGACAGCATTACCCACAAGCAAGAATTTTTAGTCTACTCGTCAAAGTATAGTATCCAAGATTCTCGTTTAGTCGTTTCTGACTAGAGAAAGCTTTAGGCGAAAGCCATATCTAAGCCCTTAGCGATCAAAATCGAGGTACAGTATAGTGTAGAAGCCCTTGGATGGCATCGAGAGAAAACAGTGTATTTCTACTCCTATGTTATTCAAATGAGTTAGACAGGATCGAATAAAATGGCCGGCAGGGACATTTTTAGTATCCTGGACTCAACAATGGCTGAACCATGGACATCAACCTTGGCATTGCAGTTAGGGTTGACTTTGGAAGGCACTACTAAAATATAAAATAGACTGGCAACATGGAGCACTGTAGTCATGGACTAGCAATAGAGTCTATCGCTACTAGCCCTACTAAAAAAAAAGATACTGGAAGCATTGAGTATTGCAGTCATGCGAATAGTCTATCACTACTAGCACTACTAAAACAAAAAAATACTGGCAGCATTGAGTACTGTAATCATGGACTACCAATAGTCTATCATGCCCTGGCATACATGTCAAAATAAATAAATAAATCACTATTTTTTGCCTTAAAAGCACTACTAATCTACTGTATGGGAATATTCAAGGCAGCATCCATTGTATAGGATTGACTGCACTGCCCATTTACACCGTAATGTACAGTAGTACTATACTGTAGCAGTTGAGGGTAAAGTGTACTTTTATAGGCAAGATTTCCTAAAACGCCTAATCAATCCATTGAAGGAGGGCCGCCTGCTTGCATTAAATAGTTCTGAACTGCCCCATTTGACCTAAATTGTCCCCCAAAAAGGGAAAAAAGAAGAATGAAAGGCATTTGGTCCAAAAGAAGGCTATGCCATAGCCTAAAAAGTCAACACTGATACCGACTACAAGGTTGTATCGAGAGAGACAACAAGAGATACTGCCCAGTGGAAGTCAGAACCGAGAAGAGAGAGAAAAAAAAAAAAAAAAAATTGGCAATGTCCTTATTCTCGATACGAAGACACCACCAGGCTAAGCCCAATCAATGTCCGCAAAACTCTACAGTATGTTTTCAATAAGAACGACCATTTTAAATAAATATCTTTTCACGATGGTTATTAAACTATCTCTTGATAAAATCACTCTTTCGATTGTGCTTGTAAAACCTTTCATTATCAACCTAACGCGCTTTCAAAGAAATAGACCGACAGTGTAGTGGATATCTATGGATAGCAATGGTTTATATCTAGCATTTTTTCTTCTTATTTCTACTCTTGTAGCATCTTGACGCCAACGATGGGCAAATCACTGACAGGTGAATAATGCATTATTAATTCTAATCGTCAATTGAACTCTTTCTTTACCCATCCAGGACTATTTCGTCTATGGCGTTAAACTATTTTTGTACCTTGATCGATATGTAGAACAGTACCGATAGTAACCCTAAGTTAGTCATACATAGACATGCGCTATTTTCTACCAATTCTTAAAAATAGCTTAGGATCATGATGCTAATACAATCATTTCCCCCCAAAATTTATCTTTGTTGTAAATCGTTCATAGGAAGAATTTTTATAGTAACTAGATGTTGTTAAATTGAAATTTAAAGCCGCTCATCTTCAAATCTATTTATCTATCATAGCGTGGAACATTACTGTGCAATCAAAGGAATCGCTGTTCGTGTTCATGGCAGCCCTCGCCAACCAATCAACGAAAAAGAAGGTAGACTAAAGTTGATTATATTGAATAAGAAGGAAAAATATCCACATGCACCAATACGGTGCTTTAAGTAGATGAGTTTATGTTGATTAATATTGAATGAAACACCGGAAAGAAAGCCATTGGTGCACTATTATTAGATAGATTGTAGAAACGATCGTGTCTATCATACAGGATACCAATGCAGCATTTCACAAATATACCCACAAGTAAATGGCATTGATTTGCCCAATGTAAATTGTAGTAATTGCTCATTACTGCTTTTGAATAGGGTAGCAGAAAATGCACATTTGAAAAAAAATGGCTCTTATTCATACTTTGATACAATAACATTATAGACGTAGAGATAGAAGGTTTAATGTAGCCTATTTTGCCTAGTTTGCCCTGATCGAGCATAGTATACAACGAATGGATTAGCGCTAGTCCAACGCTGATTACCTTGCTTACTTGTACTGTAATAGAAATGTAATAATACAGTATCAATCTCAATCTTGATACATGTATGGATACATTATGTTAAAATTTCCAACAAATTAATCATCTACATTGAAATCGATAATCAATTTGACGTGGCACTACGTAATTGTACTTTTCGTTGATGCCTTTCTAAAGTATATATATACATCCCCATCAGTATGACAGAAACATACAGTACTATACAGTTATATCAATTAAATAAACTACATAATGACCATTTCACACATCAAAAAAACATCTTCACATATATCAAATTGCCTTAATTACCTTGAGACAATACAGAAAGATCCATTGACATTCCGATGACTAGATATAGTACAGTAGACTATCACTATACAGTATCAATCTGCAATTACGATATAGAAACTTTACTCTTTTATTGTTTACAGTAAAAGCGTTCCTACGCCATTTTAAGTTATTTTGCATCTGTCCCGTCAATCAAGACTATTTTCTCAATAATTAACGAGATGAAAATATTCAAAAACATTTTGTTTAGGATGACACTTAGATTATTCAAAACCATTAAATCGTTATCCATGTTCAATTCCATGAACTGTACTGTACAATATTTAACATGAAACGATTCCAAATGGCTACTGGTTATCGCTGATATTGCGACATAAACAATTTAGATGCTTTTCAGTTAGTTCATGCTTCATTTACAGTATTTTATTTTTCTTCTTATGATTTTTCCTAATCATATAAGAACGCGAAAAATTTTCATAAGTAGACATTATAACGCGAGTAATCGACTACTATATCGATAATCCTATGTAATTTTGAAATACAAACATTTTCTTTGATTATTCCTATTTTAGCAGGCGATATTCAACACCATTTACGCGTTATATCTGAGACAGTAAGACCTAAGGACTCAATTACCCTAGTAAGAAAGAAACTTTTATTTCTGTCGACAATAAAAAACGATATCTTTAATTCTTATGTTGTCAAAAATTTTTTAAAATGATCGTATTTCGGTATCATTGCTGTTGTATTGTTACTATCAAATGAAAAGAAGTACAGTAGTTACTATACCAGTATTGAAGGTTTCAGCTATAACTTCATCGTTTAAACCTGCGCATTTTGCTAAATAAGTCATCTATTTTACATTTTTATACAGGCAGTCAAATTAGAATGCCTACTATCAACTAGAACGAGATACCTAACTGTGGTATCAATTACTGATATCGACAATACAGAAGAAAACGCTCTGTTAGGTTTTGACTGGGATGAAACGTATGTCTCATTAGCAATGATATTAATTAATTAATTATATAATCGAATTCATCGTAATTAATGCGAAATCCTCACTGAAATGATCTACCTATGGATAATAGATAGATTAATCTATATAAATCTACACTTTATTATAAAACAGTTCTGATGAAGCCACTTTAGGAATGGTCCTTCCAGTTTATGCTGATACATCAATTGTCCTTGATGGCGACGGGTGAGTAGAACCCAAGCATCCGTTCTTGTAATCCTCAGTTGCATGCGTTACATTGCTTTGATACATCACTACGTAAGCAACTAATTAAATCCTAATCATTCGAATTAATTGATAATCCTTTCTCATCTTTAATATTTCATACCCTTTTTTAGAGGTTTTGTAGTAACTTCAGATTATCGCAAACATACTTTCAAGCCTGTATCAGTGCAATCAATGTGGTTAGCTTTAAACTTATTGTTATTAACTTCAAAGATAAAATTTCAATTTGACCTACCTGTAACACTGTATCTTGATACAAGTCTTTGATTAACGTAGGAGCGCTTTACAGACGTTGAATAAGAATGTAGAAAATGCAAGATATAACAATTTTTTTGCTGAAGGTACTTCACATACTTGGATTAACCATTACGTAAAAGAAATTAATAGTTCGCCAAAGGCCATTATTGAATGGAATGCACTTGATATCGAATCTAAAACTAATTTTGACGCCAAAATAGATTCTGAACTGTAAGTATTTTGAGCTGTGAATTAAAAATCGAATCCTTTATAGTGATAATTTAATTAAACTTGTTAAATCTATAGGGATCAATCAAAGTTAGCTGCCACACGAAATCTAATTAAGGTCAATTTACGAGATGTAAGCTTTGCTTTAATACTTCAATGATAATACGAGTACCTTAGTACTATTAGATGATATTTTACCATTGGCATTACAGATTATGGCGCATGTAGATATAGAAGAAATAACTAGTAAACAGGTAATCATGTAATCTCCGGTACATTGTAAATGACTTCTGTTTAAGCAATGATACTGCAATATATTCAAAAAATCTAAAATTATGTCTATAAATTGTTAACGTTTTTATTTATTCACTTAACAGATACGGTCATTACTAGAAGAAAGAATACAAATGAAGCTTACTGAATTCAAGGAATTCATTGATGAATGTATGATTGTTATCTTACGACAAATGGATTCAGCATCTGAAATACTGCCTTACCTATATTTGGTAAATTGCTGATTTATCTTCTTTAAAATAAATTTATCAAGCACTTTAAGAGAAAAAAGCTTATATTTTTTAATACTCTATTTTAGGGTTCAGAATGGAATGCTGCTAATATCGACGAGCTAAAAAATAAAGGGTAAGTAACCGTTAAATTTTAAAGATATAATGTTTCATGATAACGTCGTTTTATTATAGAATTTAACCTGGAGCATCTGTTGGGATGCGTAAAATATTAGTTACTTGCGCAAATTGACATTGTTTAATTTTAAGTTATTGTTTTATACTTATAGTATTAAATACATTTTAAATATCACTTGTGAAGTCGATAACTTTTTTCCAAATCAGTTTTCCTATATGAATATCAGGTAATTAAAACATTCCTATGCTGTCTATACTAACGTAATCGTAAAGGTCTTTTAATAATGATTGTATCATTGTATGAGTAGAGTTGTCGATAAAGAAACAACAGATCTAATAACAAATTGGGACAAGACTTATAAATTTATCAAAGGTGCAAGGTAAGTGGCTAATAAAATTTTTTTGCAAGAATTTGGCCTGACAGATCTATTTATTGATAGGAATAATAGCTCAAAAGTACTGGTTCATTGTAAAATGGGAGTTAGCAGGTCTGCTTCAACGGTAAAGTCTGATTTAAGCCATTTTATCAAATATTAAAGTTTTAAGCATAGAACATTAACTTAATTCATTGCTTCATGAGTAGGTCATAGCTTATGTTATGAAGGAATATAAGTGGCCCTTAGAGACCGCCTTACAACATGTGAAAAGCTGTCGCAATTGCATTAATCCTAATCCGGGCTTTTACAATCAATTGATTACTTATGAAGGCTTAATAAAAGCAGGGTAATGTAATTAGAATTAAACTTTAAACCTTGAAAATAAATTGACTTAACTGCAACAACTCTTGGTCTCTCTAACTAACATTTTTACTATGGACGTAGGCGCCTTCGCCACAGTCATTTATGGAGGAAGAGATCATACTCTGATACCTCTATTAAGCAGTTAATTTCCTTTCGTCGGAGTCAAATGACCAAGAAAGCACCTATAACAGAGCAAAATGATGAATCGGGCCAAACCCAATGTAAAGATACTGCATCAACGAAAGCAAATGAAGATACAGACTTTATCTCATTTTACTCATGTGTTTCTTGCTTGATAAGTGAGTATCAAATTAAGAATGATAGGAAAAAGGAGAAAAATATAAAGAAATCACTTCATCGTAAGGGCCGTAATCTGCAAAATCGCATACAAGCACCTAGGCCGGTAAAATCAAATCCCAACCTAGGTAGTTTAGCAAACGATTATAGTCAAGCATATGATCAGATTACATCAAGTGCATCGATTGACACATCATTTGATAGTCACCCAGAAGGATTTGACAAGCATACTTTAGCCGAAGGTAATTTATCTAATGATACCGTCGCCATTAACGAATCAAAATTGGGCGCATCTCCAACTATTGTACTTAGACATAAACAGGAGGAAGATTGTTGTAGTTCGACAAAAATGTTATACGAAGTGAAGTCTAAAGGAGACAACGAAACACATTCCAATAAAACAATGAACAAATCGAATAAAAGAGAAGGATCGAAGGTAAAAGGGATCAAGAACTTTTTAGAAGGTATATCTAAAGGCTGGCAGGCTTCAAAAGCTATATTGCGTCAAAATAGCAGTAAGTCCCCTGTAAGCAAAAGTGAAGAACATAAATTTGATGAAGATAGAATATCACCAAATCCTAAAATTAATTCGTCAACAGAGAGTGAGCGGGATAATTACGTCGATCACACTCTCGATAAGCTGATTGTATCACCTGAGGCTGACCGTGAAAATGATGTTGAAGAATTGAAATTCAATGTATCAGTTAAGGAATTAACTTTGGAATTAGAATCAGCTCACATGCAATCATTAAATAATTCTTCACTTAATACGTCAAAAAGTTCTATTCAGAATCTTGGCATCACAAGCACTGCTGAAACTAAGAACGATGCCAACGATGATGAGACTTGTCCTAAGAATGAATTACAGCGCAGTTCCGGCTACATAAGGAATATCGTTGAAAAATTCGAATCGAGCGACTGCCAAGCAAATTAATTGCGCGAGCTATTTCATATTGTTTATACACACGTTAAATCAACTGAATGTATCTATTACGATACATTTGATGCCAAAACATTCAGCGAATTTATAAGAAATGCTATGATTACTGCAACTACAGACGAACATACTATAATACTTGAATGACGCACGCTTCATTAACCAATACTAATACAATTTTGATATGAAGAATAGTGATAAATTAGTTCCATTCTTAATCATCTACGAATCAGCCGAATATTATTATACATTTCTGTATCATATTATTAATACCTCTGTAATGGTTGCAATGATTATATATTAACAACCTAAAAATATTTAAATTACCACAACTTTTCGGATGCTCTTGTATTTGTTGAAAATTATATGAATGAAAATTTAAATTGTTTTTATTTACAATTAACATTATGGCCATGTACAGTTACATACTGTGATTGTAATATTATTTTTTGTGTATCCCGTGTTTGGACATAGAAACCACGATTTGAAACTACTATACAATATATCACGTTTTTGTTAAGGCTAAGTGTGATAGTGTACAGTAATTTACTTGAGCTGGGTTACACAATTCCAAGTTGAATGATTTGATATGTAACAATAAGTTTACGTTATGTTTATGCACGGCTGATTTAATGATTGGTTATATCAATATTAGGATATACTGTACTAGTATGCAGGAATGACTCAGCCTACAGAATAATCTTTTATACCTTTTTATTCGTACTATTGTCTATGTAATCTTTCAAGTATTACATTAAATACATAAGTATTGAGATCGAGATTTGCAATGGAGAAAATTATATATTTTAATTTCTATATATCCTTAAATTCATGATCTACGCAGTATAAAAATTGTCACGCAATTTTTTAATCTACTGCATCAAGAAAATTAGTGAAGTGTCGGTACGATTCGGCGGAAATGACGAATTTAAAATGTCATTTCGAACATCAATAAATGCTGTTTGTTATCTTATTTTTAAATTGTTTTTGTGAATAGTACTTCTAGTAGGCAATACCTGTTTCCTTAAACCAATTAGTAATCTAAAATTAGTCATGATTAAAATATTTTAATCTCAGGCAATATGCAATAGTTCAAAACTTTAGGATTCATCACAAATAGATATACACGTTGTACAGGTTATACATGAAAATATTATTGTACATCATCAAATATTATGTTAGAGTATTTTAGACGCATTATCGCTTAAATATACGGGTATAATACGGTTAAATGTGTAACTTATAAAGGGTAGTTATACTGTATTCTCGTACAATTTACTCCACATATGATATTATAATTGCTATATACAATTACAGTGGCCATCTTTCTAATTAATCCCAAATTATTACCGGTCAATCAATCTAAATCTTCATTTTATACCTATCATATATATTGACTTATTTTGATAAGTTAAATATTCCTTTCATATAAAGACTGCCTTAATCATGCTTTATAGTACAGTATTTTTATAGCATACCTGCGGTGTCGTACTATCTTTCGTAGAATGGATACTAACTATTGCAATGAAAAATCAATCACAGCATGTACGCCTATAAATCTACCTTCATGAAGTAATCAATATTACAGTAGTATAGCTATCTGCCGTAGTAAGCTTCAAAATCAGCTTAAAATAGTTTAATTTCGACAACCATCTAAGGAATGGATGTTACTAATTATTTTAATAACATGAAATTGATCAAACCATTCAATCGATCGTTCAAAATATCCCCTTTAGATCGTTAATATAAACATAACCTACAAGCACCGTCGTTCAACTCACTATAATTGTAATCTAAAATTAACGGATAATTAATTCACCTTTTGCTATCCTGTAATTAAGGCATAAATTATTCTAAAAGAGAATTAACCTAATGATATAAATTGATATCTATATTAGATATAAATAAGAGCTATTGTAGGTGAGGGCGAAAGGAGGAATTTAATAATTATATGTACAGTAATATATAATAGAACTACAAAAATTAAGTTTTATCATTTTTGTAGATAAAGCAACAAAAGCTGTAGAAATTTTAAGTCTGTCTAGAGTATCACGAAAATAATCTCGAATTATATGTTATAATCTATCTGATATAAAATTTTTCTCTGCAAATTTACATAGATAATAAACTATAAATTTGAGATTCGGTAGCAAAACATGTACATAGATATAGACATAATTATTATATGCTGCCTCCAGGATCTACTAATTTATAGAAAAAGTTATAAATTTTGTAAATGTGTTTTTGGTAAAAATGATTAATATTTTTCAAAATATTATTGATACGGATATTCCCTTCCTCAGGAATTTAATTCTCAATATTTTTATTAGTTGTATCTCCTTGAAATTTATGAATTTCAAGGGTTAAATTATTAATTGTTTTATTCTTTTCTTCTATATCATCTTGTAACTGCCTAACTAATCCCTTAAGCTGCTGAACTTCAACGGATGTTAATGATGATTTCTCATCTTCGGTTCTTGGCACATAGAATGAACTAATTGTAGGTAATTTATATAGACTATTAATTCCACGAGCATTAGTTGCATGATTACTTGCAACTTCGGCCTAAAGTATGGGTAAGTTAGAAAGAATATTAGTAGGTAATAGAGTACCGGTAGTTTCTCTTAAATTAATAGGTGTGGTATCAACTTTAATACTACTATGAAGTACATCATACACATTTTATTATACATTTAGCTTTGTATTTAAACATGGAAAAAGCATTCCAAATTCATCCCTACCTGTAAATCATGAATCATATTTTCAATACTCTTAGCTGATTTGGCCAATCGTGTTGTAATATTTTCAACTGTACCAGTGTTGTCTGATGCGTAAGGTAATAAATTAGCATAGGTGGTAGAGGTCACAGGACCGGTAAAATTCGAAGTATACTTTGAATTATTTTGAGTCTCATTTCTTTCAATATCTTCGCGCATAGGAAGAGATATATCATTATCAACATTAATATTATTGCTGCTGTTTGAAAACCTCTTTCTACTAGTTGCAGATTGTAATCGTCTTCGAATTTTAGATGTAGAAGGACCTGACCTACCACCTGATATAGTATGGCTGAAATAAAAAAAGAGAAAATAATTTACAAATATAAATCGTTTCATAACATTTTATGTTAATTTTCATATGGGCGTAAATTTCGTAGTTGTCGAGGTAAAATATATACGGAAATGTACCTCAAGTGTAGGGTATCAAATATTTATTTAATTTAGCCATTGAAGTACCTTCTTTTAATTTGTATTTCTCCCTGATCTTCATTTTCATTGATTGGTTTAATCTTATTTCTAGTAATTGATAAATTTAATATTTTCCTTAAGCCAACTCGATTTCTCGCTGTATTTGTATCTGTTTCACAATTTTCTTTCGTATCCTGTGTTTCTGAATTTACTCTTTTCATTCCAGCTAAACGAGCTTTAGCGTATTGAGTTAAGTAGACCTACAACATGATTCAATTTCAGGTCAATTACTATATCTAGAATTTTGGAATACCCATAATTGTATTTGTATTAATTATCGATTCTGAATTATTATGTATCACTTTGTATGTTATTTACTTATATAAATATAAAAAAAGATTTAAATAAGCAAATTACACGAAATAAAGTACTTGGCATAGAATACTTGAATAATACTTTTTAAAGTGCTATCAGGCAGGCATTAACAAAATACTGTAATGATACCTTAGCTTTTGGATAATCTTCCATAGCTTCCAGTACATCATCCTTTAATAATACAAATAATTCTGAGAAGCCAATCGATCGAACATTAGCAGTTCGCCTATCAAGGAAACCATAGACAGTTAATAGATGGAAGGTAAAAATTATTAGATTCATTGTGATAGCTTTTAGCTTGCTAATGATTCCAGGACCAGGTACTGAAGGTAGTTTTGTTTACAATTTAGCTCTATATAACTGTGATTGATGGCTGTAGCTTTGTACAAATTACAAATATATTCGCTGGTAATAGTAAAATTTTCATTAATTAACTGATTGGAGGTGTTAAGCTTTAAGGTACAGAGATAGTATGATAATAGCAGCACTCCCTCTTGTATGATATAAAGATTATTAACTTTACTCTGCCATCTGCTGGCAGTAAAAATTTCCTTTAAGAATGAAAACAAATGCCAACCGTGTGAAGGCTGAGAAATATAATAGAATTATTATACTTTAATACTTTAGTTTGTCTAAAATTTAGATTTATTATGACACACTTGTCGTTATACATAGCTGATTGCAAAGTTTATTATCGTATTTTCATAAGTAGTTATTACTGATATACAACTCTACAAGCCAGGATGGAAGGACTAGGAAAGGTTACCTGTTTGCTGCTTCTGATAGACTTAAAACTCCAATTTCACCGAAAAAATCACCTTCTTTCAATGTAGCTATAACTGCTCCACTTTCGCTGTAGTTTATTTGATAATAAAATAGTCGACAAAGGTTATCAACATCTATACATAAGAACTCAAAATAAGGTATATCGATATAATATCCAATTTATGATTGATCATGTTTGACAATTCTATCTACATCTAGTTGTTTAGTAGTCTTTTAGTTCATACAAGGTAAATTACCTTAACACTTCCAATTTGCCGTTGCTAATAATGTACATCTCACGGGCAATTTCACCAAGTTGGCAAACTAAATCCATAGGTGTATAAATGTGATGTTTCATTTTAAGAACTAGATCATGAAGGAATTCTCGTTCACAGTTTTGAAATAATGTGACCTAACCAAAAAGGATAATTACATGAATACAAGTACATCCAATATTAGCATAGGTATTATTATTTAAAATAGCATATTTTATTCGCGCTGACGATAGGTGCAGTAAATCATACTCTAGTGAATTTGATCATTCGCGTAGAAAGAACCATATTATACGTTCGTTACGATCAAAATTAATTTCATGTTCTTCAGTGCTAATCAGACAGAGTAAAATGGAACTGAAGATCGCTTTATCACCTTATATTCAATAATGCAACTTTGGAGGAAATTATTTAGGAGTAAGCTGATATTCATATAGTAATACAGATCGCTGTAATACACTTATTTATGTATGCCGATTTTATCATGACCACTACTGGAAATAATCATCTCCCATACTAACTATTCATAAATAAACTAACCTTTTTTAGTGTCTCTAAATGAACATGAAGAGCTAATTCGGTTTTTAATTTGGTTGGTAGCATACTGATTGCTCTAGCTTCTCCAATACCATTTAGTTGGCCTCTGTAGCAAAATATAGATTATTTAAACAGATATCTTTACAGGTAGAAAAAGAATATCAAGCTGGCATAACTTTACCTTTCCCAGGAATAATCGAACCATCGTTGAACACGAGTCTGCAAATTGCTGCTTACGTTTCGTTTAGACATATATTCTTTTGCATCGTCCTATTTTTATGTTTCCATTTAAATGGATAAAATGTTAATTAAAATAATTTGTTGTGATTAATTAACATGAGGCGGTCACTGTTTCTCACCAGTAATTGATCAAATTGAGATCTTCTAGCATTTCGCTTAGCAATAACGTTACCCAATAAGCCTAAAAGATATTACATTAATACTGAGCATTTATTTAAGAACAGAAGACTGTTGCTCGCTCCTTTTACGTTTACTGTACCATTGGAAATTTTCTATACTTTAGCGCAGACTAGTATAAAAACTGATTCTTTGTAAGGATAAGGACAATAATATTCTAAGCTCAAATTGAAAGTATTACTATGATCTATGATTTTATTGCCATGTTACTATAAAAGATCATTAAATTAATACTACAGATAATTCAATCATACCGACAATAGAAGCAAAAATAAATAATCCACAGAAATAACTTAATAGAGTGAAAAGGTACCTAATAATCAAGAAGAAAGAATGCCAATATTAGATTATAATCTTCTATGGTTAAAAATTTTTTGGCTAAGTAAGAGTTGAAAATAAGTCTGAATGTCAATTATTATAATACAAAACATGATAATTTAAAAGTATCATAATAATGGATATCCAATTGATTACTACAGTCATGAGTTGCCATTGAAGGAATATACGTGCAGTAGTCAAATCTACTTACTCAATTTGTGTAACTGGCGAGGGGATTTCACCAATGGTTGTTAATGTTAACGTTGCCCAATAGACCGATTTTAAATACTTGACGGATAAATTGCCGTTAATACCAACAGGCTCTGGATAAACCCATCCATCCGAGCCAAAACCGATATAGCCTGATATCATGTAATAAATTGCAGCGAACCATTGGATGAGTATAAATAAGGTGTGAATTAAATTTAAAATTCGCCAAAAATTGGGCCGATAAGTCCGTGATTGGATTAAACGGTAGAAATCGTTTGTGCGATAGTATTTTAATAATCGTCCAATGCGTATAATGGGAAACATTTGCGTAACGTTATAATAGAAAAAATCGAAAGGTAATAAACAAATAACATCCATCACAACCCGTCCAGAGCGGAAATAATGTTGACGCAATTTATGGCGATCAGTGACGACGATGCCATGGGATAAGTAGCCAGTTCGTGTTGAGAGGTAGATATCAGCGATATAAATTAGATCAGTACTATAGTCAAGAAAACCCCACAAGATTGGAGTTTCATTTTGGAACTCTGGAAAAGCAGTTCGAATAATAATTAACCAAAAATTATATAACACTGCCAAGGATAGCAGAGCTAACCAATAAAGATTAGTTAAACTTTTAGGATTAATGATCCAACGTTCATAACGCATTCGGACATCGCCATAAGTATCATAGAAGTAATCTTTTTGATCAGTAATAACGACATCATCGTCATCATCACGGCCTTTACCATGCGATTTGTCGTCACTCAGTGAATTTTCTTCATTGGCAACAGTCACTAAATCCTCTTCACTGTCAATAGATATACGTCGGTCTTGGCGTGTTGTAAATTTTTCGATGAATGAATCATGGCGACGTTTTTGAACACTTTGATTTTGTGCTCGTACCTTGGTGAAAGCATTGCTCCAACGATAAAATTGACTTAAAATATGAGAGCTACTAGATCGGTTATTGCGTTGTAATCTTTTCTTTCCACTTCCTCCTTCTATTGGAGTAGTTTCCTCAACAGTCATGATGTGCTCTTGTTGTTGCTGCAAATGAGGATCATGACCATTTTTAGTCGGATAATCTTGATGGGCTGATTGAATATCGTAATCTTTGGACATTTTCAATGACGTTTTGTAGTCATCTAGAGAATAGAAATAACCTCAAATCTGTTGATAAATGATATAGTATTCCCGCTTGGATGGCTATCGTAAAGATGGGGGGAATATTGTTCTTCGACAGAAGTTAGTTTGGCAAGTGGCGGAAAGGCTAAGTACACGTAGAAAGGAAAAGGAATTGATTAAATTCAAGCGGGGCTAGAATAAATTATTCTATTAATCCCATTGCCGGTAGTAGCGGTATCCATCTTATAATTTTAAAATAAGCAATTTTTACCTACCCAAATGCTGCTTACCCTAGGAAATATGCCCGTATAGGATAAATTAGCGTATAGAAGATTTCTGTTGTTGTAATCGATCGAGAGAGAGAGAGAGCACTTTTTCTTCAGCTATAAATGGATTTGCAAATATAGGAAGAGAAGGGAGAAATAATGAACTCACAGAAGGATTGAAATCGTTACAGTTGTGAAGAAATTAATAGCCTCATTTTTACCTGCCTCTTCACCCAAGCTATAAATATGATAATTCAACACCTAGAAGATTTCTATTTTTGTTGTATTAGAGAGAGAGAGAGAACACTTTCTTTAGCTATAAATGAACTGACAAATATATTGGGTGGTATCTTTGAAGAGAAAGGAGAAATAATCAGTATATAGAAGGACGGGCGACGGTTACAGTTATGGGAAGGAAAGAATATTTTCCCTTAAACGGAAATAGAATTGATAAAATAGACGAAGTAACGATAGATGAGGAAATTAGAATTCTATTTTTATTGTTACCTATGTTGCCATAAAAATCTCTAAAGGCCTATATTAATCTAAAAGTCTCATTTCTGTTTACCTTGATTTTATCAAACTTCAATCACGTATTTCTATGATAAATCAGTGAAGGTAATTCAATTTCTTATTTCTTATTCCAACCTAATCAAAAGGAACCAGCTAAATAATTTACTTTTTTATCACCCGTTAAAACAGAAATTTCTATACGACAAGATACGTCTAGAATTTTATATAGTAATAGTTCAATCTCAGAGGAAAAAATTTGTCTTAAGATTACTTTACTATACCTTTGAGTAAAATAAACATCGATTGGTCAAGTTCCTATAATTATAAACAATAGTTCTTATAAATAATTTCTTATTGAAATCGCTAAATGATAGAAGGATAGTTCCTACCAATAAACAAAAATAAGCTCTAGTAATCATTTTGGATAAATAAGCCATTTTATAGTAACATAAGAAAATCAATAACTATAATAGAACTGCGACATTAGAATGATTCTAACTATAATATAATTTTCGTCAATCATTTTATTTAATCCATCTCCACCCTTTATTTAATGTTAATTGTTATTAAACGCTTAATTATTTTCATCTATGATTTAGTCACTTTCAATCTAGCTTTGGGTTGTGCTTTATTAGCATTGACACCGTAGCCGTACTTTTAACCTATGAAAATAGAAAAATTGTTCACAGTATGGCACCGACATTAACTTCGTTATAGACCTCGATTCAGTCACAGTATAGATCAACAGGTTCTTGTATATACCGTATATACTACGTAACAGCCCTACATTATTTATGTATTTACTGTCTACAGAATGTGATTTGAAATCTTCTAGAGTGTAAATTAGCAGTCTAGAATGCATGGGCAACATGATAATGGAGTTCTTTATAATGTGCTTTTATGGAATATATGGATAAATTATAAATTTGTAGTCTCTCGTGTGTATCTACAGCATTAAAAGGTGGTGATGATTTTCTAAATTGTAAAAATTAACGGCCATGGAGATGGAATAATTCTTAAAGTACCGGTACTCGTAGAGCAATACCTTAAGAATTATTAATAGTGAACACTTGAAAGATTAAATCTAGAATTATAAAAATAAAGCTTGGTGTATTATTAAATGCCTTGCGACCTAAATTCTATGATGAGTTCATAAGAAACAACAAGATACCGTGAAATTAATATAGTGCCTAGTAGAGTTAGAATTTATTCTTGGCATTCTACTACTGTACAGGTATCGAACGGTTAGTTAAAGTATATTCTTAATAAGTTCATAAGAAAACAACCAAATAAAATTGATAAAGGGCTTATTGGAGGTTGAGTCCATTTTTGGCCTTCAACTACTGTATGAGTATTAAATGATTGGTTAAAATATATTTCCCATCCTTGTACAGGTAAAAGATTTAATTTCACGTATTAACATAATTACTTAAATCATCTGAAAGGGGGCTGAAAGTCTCTATCACAACATGGATTCTGTTTCTGGCTTATAATATAGGCTGGTATAGAATTGCTAGAAAAAAAATAGACTAGGAGATTTCAAGTACTATGCAGGCATTGAACGGTTAGTTAAATACGTTTCCTAACTTAGTACAGGTAAAAGATTTATTTATTTCATTTATGAACGTAATTGCTTGGATCATCTGAAATGAAATTGAACGTCTCTATCACAACATGAATTCTGTTTTCTTGCTAATTATATACGCTAGTATATAATTGCTAGAAAAATAGATTAATTAAGAGAGGCGTTTCTTATTAAAATAAGTGTCATCACCATCCTATTCTAACTCTATCTCTGTTCACTCCTTTCAAACTTTCTTGTTCTTATTTATAAAAGTACATATACATTTCTAAATTCTCAATACTGGAGCTAATGTAGACTTCCCTAATACAGATTTATTTGCAAGCTTAAATTCTCATGTAGACGTAACTGTATCATCCATCAAAGTTACTATAACTGACAAAAATTACTGAAATATGATTTATATTCGGTCTTCCAAGTATAATAAAATCGCTTCTAACTAAATTCAATATCAAATGCTATAAATAATAAATGGATTAATTAGCGTAATCACCATATGTTTATCACGTCTACAAAAAAAATCGGAAAAATTTCTTCGATGCTCGGCAGCTGACATCTTAGAAAAATTTATCTAACATAATTATGTACAGTACATAGCGGATACGCTAATGTGTGTTTACAGTTTGCTATAACTGAAAAAGTACTAAAAATTCACTTTTAGACGATCAAACATACTAGAAAGATATCTTTACGTCTTTATTACCAAAAACTATACTACGGTAGTAATATTGTTTATGACTATAAATTAAATTAAGCCCAAATTGTCTATATTTTACCACCTGTTGCTCGATATCTGATCGTAAAAACCATCGGATAGTTAAATATGAAAAAGGACATAATAAGTAGGACTGATCTAATTTCAGATTAGACATCAGCAGTCTAGTTATACTAACATTACAAAATTTGTGGATCGATTTTAGTAATCATTTTAAGCAACAATTTTACACGTCAATAACCAATATGAGTTTTACGTATATTTATAGATGTTATTAGCGGTATATATAACATTTAAAGATCACTTACAATTCAGAACAATATTTCTTCCAAACTGTATAACACGCAATACGATGAAAGCTAGTGTATTCTCTCTTTGAATATTTTTTATAATATGTACTACTTTGAAGATTATAATGAACCGAAAGCACTGGGTACTTATTCACTAAAAGCTAGCACAACTGAAAGCTCCTGGCAAACATAATCATTCTGATAAAGTCATAAATTGGAAAATGTTAACTTGATTATTTTCTATATTACCTATTTCTTGGTTATGGTATCATAGCTTTAGCTTGTTTATCCATATAATTAACTGGGAAGGAAACGATTACTGTGATGATATACGGAAATAGTATGCTACCGATTTTGTATTCCAGGTGAACGTTTAGCTTATTGGCGCTTCAATCTTATCCTTCTTTACCGTCTTTGTCTTAGTTAATGAGCTTCAAATAGTAAAAGTATTCCTTTAAAGGTTTGATTTAATAGAGTATGAATTAAGACTTTAAAGCATACGACAACTTAGAAATTGGATCGAAAACTTGCAAATGATAGATATCAATAATAGACATTCAGAATGTACTTTTAAACTTGATGAATCAAGAAAAGTAATGATGAACCTAATTTTGAAAATTTATCCTTTCGTCATTAACTTATACATCAATAGCTTGATTACGGGGAGGAATAAAGTTGATTAATTAAATTAGACTTTGCAAAGAGCCAATATAGTAGGATTTTGATGCTCCCTGACATTATAACTGCTGACTTTATTAATCACCAATGGGTGATTTAATTGTTATGGCAACGTCAATCAATTTAACACGTATAATGTCATTGGGCTTAAGTTAACCAGATGATTGTAAGTAAGAATACCTCAGTCAATACTTTGGGCGGGCTAACTATACTTTGCTTGACCTTAAGCAAACGAATTCATATTGGCTATAACTATCTAGCTAATCATAAACGGAGAATAACGAAAGATATATGACAACAGAAATCGATCAAATTAAACGATTGACTTGTAATAGATTGATGAAAACTATTGATCCCACTGGATTTTACTTTGTCAATATTAAGTTGACAGTCTACCATGAGAAGAGAGAAGAGCGTTTGTAATATCACTTTAAAGTGGCAAGAATACAATACTTTTGCACTTTATTTAATGCTCAATCAGTACAATAAGGGTTTGATCATATTTTACCGGAGAAAATTAATCAAATTTTATCTGTAGTTTGTTGATCAGAGACTTTAATTCAATAGTTTGTATTGTCCTATTATATCTATATGAATAGGAGATAAAATTCTCTGGCTAAAATGGTCGATTATATGAAATAAGACAACGTGCTATGTCAGCACCATAGCAACTATTTTCGAACAGATACCGTAATTTCTATACTTATTAGAGGCTGTAGGTAATTATGTTTAATACAATAACACAACGGAATGAAAGTAAAGGAAGTAATTACTATCAATAATAAAGGAATTGTTACACAATTATCATATTGTCATCTAATGAATACGTAATCAATATCACAACGGCAAGTGTATGTTATATGTAATCATTTCGATCTCTTAGTTTCTGACATATTTGTAATTTTTACATCACTATTGTCTGGGTTTGTGGGCCTATACGTTCTATAGTATAACATCGATAAAATCATATACCGTACCCGACGTAAATTCTGCTAATAAATTAGCAGCAATTGCAAGCACAATAACGTAAGATACAATGAAGTCATTGTCTTACTGTAATGCTAAGATATCCTTTCAAAAGTACGAAACGTACGCAGACTGTATTTCGTGTACCTTTGGTAGCGTAGAGCGTGATATGTTAATTAAAACGGCAATAATCGAAGTCAATATTCAGGATAGCTTGAGCTGCCTTTTCAACTGTCAGCATATATTATTACAAGGAACTTGTTGCTGAAATTATGAATTATTATGTCTACATATTGTAAAGTGCTGTGATTTGAACATTATAGAAGATATCGTAATCTAATTACTTTACTATGGTTGCTGTATTAACATAGCAAATTAGCAATTACAGTAAATTTATGGCAAGAATAATCAACTCTGTTGATAAATACTACAATTATAGGATATTGCAATATCAAAATTAGTTAGTATTTGAATGATACTACGTCGTGGTCATCCAATACTAATTATAATATAATGTATTTCGTAATCTTTATACGGTAATTATGATATATTAAATATAGATAATTATAATAGTATGAGATACAAATTTATACAAGATTAATTTCGAACGAATAATTTAAGAATGGCTTCTATCAAAAATGAGCAACTTGTTATCCTTTCTCAAATTTGATTCTTATAAGACATCATAAAGAAAGAAACCAATTTTTATTCATCTTTTACGATACGCAGATATTTCAAGTAAGAAATTTACATCCAATATTAAGTATCTTAGCGGTATCAATTTATTGATAAGAATTATAATTGTGCTCCGATATAAGCAAATAAAGAACAATTAAAATAAATTTATGAAACAGAGCATTACTATTTACGTAATAGCTAAGTAATGAAAAATTATCATAAAGTACATGTTGTAAATAACGTGGTACACCTACAAGCTTAATACATTACGTACGTATACTTCTTCATTAAGTATTCCATTCTAATACCGGTTGATGTGATAAACAACCTTTTGTTATCCACTGTTTATCATATCGTACGCGTAAAAAGCTGACAGACTACGATTACAAGAGGCAATATAATATGAAGATATGAGTACACACTTTATTACAATAATAACGCTTTCAAATGATTTACTCAAATCTATGATGATTTTATCTTATCCAATAGAAATTTTACGTTATTTCCGTTTGTACTAGACAGACAGGAATTATAATTCAAAGTAACAATGAGTCTCAGTTGGAAATCGAATGTTGCTATTTATTCGCCTCCAGATAGTCAAGTTATCTTTATGTCCAGGCCAATTCGGTAAATTGACTCTTTTGATACATCGAAATGATTTTAAAAGTTCTAATTGGAACTTGCAGGACGTTGATTGACCCCAAGGATTGAAAGAAAGCGTCTCACCAAATAATTCGCCAATATGGATTATACAATCACCTTCATAATGAGATAAACAATCCACAGAGAAACTGGACTCGTCTAGAATAATTACATATATGATGAGAACGCTATAAAGTCATTTATTAATTTATAAACTGTTTCTATTATGCAACAAGTACAGCAGTGGTCGACGTAAGTATTTACAACTCCAGTAAAAAATGAAGGCCATTAGCAAACTACGCAGAGCATAGCTAAGAAATTCAAATTAACAAGACTAATGCAATATTTATATACGATAATGAAAGCTTACCGGTGTCGTCAGGCCAAGCCAGCATAAGTGCATAATCGCTATATTGGGATAATAATTCACTAGATCCAGTCTATGAATAAAAAATTTATTAAAATTGTAAAAAATCATTTGGATGTAATATTTCTCGTTGTCATCATGAAATATATTTTATCGCCATAGCCTTCTTTGTTATAGTAGTATTGAAAAGTTTGAGGCTTTGAAATCTGTAAACTAGAGAACTTAAATCCAGACTAGATCTATGTTAATAGTACATAGTATATGACGCTAACGTTTACGTCATAGCTGCGTAAACTAAGTAATTCGTGTTCTGAAAAAATACATCATGTCACCATAGCATAAAAGTCATTTACAACTTGTGATTACTAACAAAATATGCCATTTTAATTTAATTTAAATGTACCTGCAAAATCTTGCCTTAACTAAATAGAGGCTAAAACATAATATGAATGTAAACTTTAAAAGGCCTAAGTTACCTGAATAGTGATATAGTGCATCTCCTTTGGATAAACACCATTAGCATCAAAAGCTATAATCTCAACACCACGCGATGCTAGAAGAAATTCCCAATAACCGCAACCCTGTTGAGCATAAATATTATATAAAATTGATATTATATTCTTTCATGAATTTAGCCTGCATTTCTTTACAATTAAGAAGAGATTAACGTTTACACATTAAGTTATTAATAATTATACTGTACATCTAAAGGGTAATCAAGAACTACAGTATTACTAATAATATTTTACTTAACAGAACACTGTCTGAACTACGTACAGCTCCTGCTGATACAATCTTTCGACGTAAAGAACGAAGGGTATTGATTGCCTCTAGCGTCGGTACCGAAAATGCAAATAAAATTTGCAAAGTTTGACACGAAGTTTTATCATCAGGATTCCTGCGAGAATAAATATGTTAAATGATAAAGTTGAACTAAATTAAGTTAGGCAGATACAAAGTCAGATTACAAGCAAGTTAATCACAGTTCTGTCATCTACAGCATATATTATCTTGATAGATACAATAGACCAAATGATTGGATTTTAACAGGGTAGCTACCATTTTTCTGGATATTAAAAGATATCCGTTTAGTACGTTTATGGTGTAATAGTAGCCTGCATCATCATTTTACAGAAATAGTAGGAATTTAGTTTACTCTCGACTGTCAAGGTTGAGCAATGGGAGAAATGTACGATTTGTTTACAATTTGAGAAGTATTCAATTGAGTATAGATACTGATGTAAAGGTTCACGTTCTCGATTACAATTGTGCCACTAAATAGGCTATTCGCAGGCAAACACCTAGTACTGTATTTTATTAGCTATGATATTGTGCCTAAGCCAAGAGGCAGCCATATCGAATAACGCTGGATGCTAGTGATGCAAAGAAGGAAAATACAAATCTATGCTGGAAATTACCTAATCCAATGCGTTAACTCCTTCTTTCGTTGTTGATCGTAGGTTGGATCGCAAAATCGGACTAAATCGGGAGGTGCAGCAGCCATTTTCCATTGATAAACAGTGTAGTAAAAAGGATGGCTATTTTCATCTTCAGATCCAACCCGGCGTAATTCAATACTATGAAATATCGGGGAAGCCATAACCCATAAAAAATTTAAACGCCTTTTCTTTCTACCCGATGAGATATTACCACTACCGCGTTATTCAAGCTTAATTAATTGATAATGCTCCTGAGTTGAGGCATCCAATGCAGCAATAGTATAATCTCCATAAGAATTTTCACCTCCAAAAAGTCAACATACCCTTTGCCTATTGGAAAACCATTGGCAATAAATCGATAATGTTGTAACCATTCTGCCAGCTAGGATTAAAATACTGCAATTTATAGCATTGAAGTCGAAGGGGATTTTTGTCCTTACTTTCACGACTTTAATCTCCGATATACTTCCATAATTTTGGTAATTTGAATGATCGCAGTCTATGCGATCGCAATTGCCATAGCAATATAGAGCAGATCTGTACCGGTCCAACTGGTACTCAACCAGTGACAGTAGTAGCCTGAAGTAGCTTACTAACTCAGACGTCAGCGATAATTGCATACTAAATATATAGACAGTCGGCAAAATTGGTTATGGTATAGACGTTTTAAAAAGGTGGCCAACCAGGCGGTCGATCGTGTTACTCCACTACTGTAGCTCAAACATCAGTGACAATTTCATACTAACATATATCACTAGAATTGGTAGCATTACCTACTCTGCCTTACATAGTTTAAGCTAGGAATTAACTCAAAATTTCCTCTCACTTACCTATAATTCCTTGTTTTCCCTGTTACTAGCGAAAAGTAGAAATTTTCTTGGACGTTTAGTTTGAGCATAGATCCCTTTTATAGCACTTTTTGCAGGATGCACGCACGAGCTCATGCATCGGTGCCAATTTCATACTCAAGTTTATATTTGAATCGGCAGCTAATGTGCCTACAGGGCGTCTCAGAACATTACTGTTTGCGATATTAAAATCTCCAGAACATGATCTTACTGCATGCAAAATTTGGAAATAAAGTTGGGACGCATCTTTCATACAGAACTAAATAAGATGTGTCCAGACTTTCCGGACACCCTACTCTGTCCTTGCAAACAGCCGAAAGTTCTGCTGGTCCAGGGGTGTGGGGTCAACTCCCCCTGCCCCTCCTCTCTACAGTCCCAAACTACAGTAGTAAGTACTACACTTTACAACGCTGTACTGTACTAGTGTACTGTAGTTTGAAGCCTTGAACTATAATATTGCTCGCATCATCTCTAGGTAACCACATCGGACAGCAAGAGCTTCAATTTGCAGGCCAGCCACCAATGCTATATCTAAAAAAATAAACTAACGGAAACCTTCAACGATCATTCGAGTATTTTGATTTATTAAATCTCGATATCTTAAAGATCAACAACGATTTGAAAACGGTATACATAAATTCTACTCCAATTAGGTTTAAGTAAGAAATGAATTTCAAATCGTATTTCAATAATAATGATGAATAACATTGCCTAATGTCAATCTAGATCAACCATGTCTCAAGATAAATTGCATATCCAAACGCCTTTAATTGAAAGCTATCCTTTGTCAAAGCTATTGAAATGCCCAGTCTATCTCAAGATGGAAAATTTACAACCTTCAGCATCTTTTAAAATTCGTGGTATTGGCAATATATGCCAGAAAGTAAGTTGATGTCAACTTGTCTTCTTGTCAATCGACTCTTTTTGTTTATCTAAGCTTTTTTCATCAAAATCCATTGATTAATTATCAAGATAATTGCTGACGATAGTATAAACAAGTTATCACCATTTTATGTAGGTACAGTAGGTTGCTTAGTTAGACATTTTCATCAAAATCCAAATAATATTAATTAATTATATATACAGTACATACGATAGCGAACAGTAGCATAGATAAATTGCCATCATTCTGGGCAGTACTGTAGTTTAAGTAAGACAGACATTCTTTGTCTTTCTTGATAAAATTGCGCAGCAATTCATTTTAGCTGATATTATATACATATAAATGAACCTGTATGACTGGATTACTAATAATAATGTTGAAATAATAGATTACCAGGAAACTCCAATAGCTTAGTAAACCTTGTATAATGGCTACGTAGAATCTTGCAATGTAATCAAAAATATCATTTAGGTTGTTTATCGACAACTTTTAGTTTTAATGCTAGAGTACAATATTTATATATAACTCTGAACTGACTGAACAATTGACACACTAAGCTTAAACAGATAAAATACGTTTAGCTGTTATAATGGCAGAATGTCATCTTTATACTACATAAACATCTGATTTGAATTCATGTTGCTGATCTTGACAACCAAATCCTTATTCTACCGTTATTATAGGCTATAAAGAATGGATGCACACATATTATTGGATCTTCAGGTAAATGACACAGCTCTTACTTTATTTTATAATACCCGTATTGTATTGGAAAAGTTTACTCGCGATGGCGATGTTATTACGGATTGTACGTGATCAACTTCTGTAAATCGAATCGAATTTCTTAAAGTGAGATACTCTATCATATCTTCATTCACAGTCGATGCAATAAGACTTATCTTTCATAATTAAATATAATGTATTACCAAATATCAATATGAACTGTAATGACTATCAATAAAATCATTCAGATAGCAACAGTTCGAATAAAAAGTTGAAGTGAAGCTCAACTCTAAAGGATAATTAAAGGCAAACTATAATTTCTCTGTTATGAAAGCAGTAATCAAAAAATAAAATTGAAAATACTGCTGTATGCTTAAAAATTGTACATAAAATTACAATTATATCTTCTTGTTATAAATGTCATATTAGGCGGTAATGCCGGATTAGCTATGGCTTACGCTACACACAAGTTAGCAGTTAAGTGTACCATCGTGGTTCCTTGTCCTACACCCCAACACTTAAAGGACACCATTGTTGAACTAGGTGCAAACCTGGTTGTCAAAGGCCAGGTAAAATTAGTATCAAATGACATTATATTAATATTACTAATAAATTTTGCTGTACAATGTGCTATATTCTAATGTCAATATTTTTAAGTTAAGCAAAGAAAGGCAATAAGATAATTAACTGTTTTTCTCATTTATACCATACTAAATTGCGTCTCAACTAGGAAATATAAATAAAGTTAACATGTTATCGCCAAAAATTACCACCTTATGAATTTAAGAAACTTTAAATATTTGAAAAAATAAATCCTATTTAAATATCTTTAGATATGGAATGATGCTGAAGCTGCTGCAAAAGAAATCGCCAAAGAAACAGGTTACACAATAGTGAACAATCAATTCCAAATGGAAAATAAAAATTCCCTAAACGAGATTTGAAAGATTTTGAAATTGCTGCTTTTTATATTTTAGGTGGCTGGTACTTACCCCCATTTGATCATCCTGACGTTTGGTACGTGTTGGTACACGGTGTTAAGTATACAAAGAGTTTATCTAAGATCACATTTTTGTATTACAGGGAAGGTAACTCATCAATCATGGATGAAATCCAATCACAGATTCCAGAAAAGCCAGGCGCATTAGTAGTAGCTGTCGGAGGGGCTGGATTATTGTTAGGGATTTTGCAAGGCATGCACCGTTTTGGCTGGTCTGATGTACCGATCATTACTGCTGAAACTGAAGGCACTAGGAGCTTTGCGGAAACCTTCAAGGCTGGAGAATTGGTTACGTTGCCAACAATTACAGGGTAAAATTTAAGCTCTATGTATATTGCTATCATATCTTTAGTCGTTTATGGTCCCTTTTATATCACGATATATTTATATATTATATAGTATACTCTAATAGCTTATAGCAATAAGATTTAAATCAAAATCTTCAATTATAGAATTGCAAAGTGTCTTGGTGCTCGTGCCGTTGCTTCCGAATGCGTTAAATGGCTTAAAATTCACACTTTTCATCCAGTTTTGGTAGAAGATCGAGAAGCTGTAAATGCCTGCTCACGATTCGCAGGTATCTTTTCTATTTATAAATATTTTTATAGTATCATAACGTAATAAATGCACTTTGATAACAAGTATGATTTATCTATCGAAGTGGGATCTGTACAAGTTTAATAGATTTGAAATGTCCGACAACAGTAACTCCATTGTTATACTTGTTACTGTATCCTCATACTTTATATTCATTAATAGATGATCACAGGACATTAGTACAACCTGCATGTGGAGCCGGTTTAGCGGTCGCTTACAGTGGGAAATTAGAGGAATTGCGACAGAATGGACATATAAAGACGGACAAGCCGATTGTTATCATAGTTTGTGGCGGTTATAGCGTAACACATGAACTAATGCAAGGCTGGAAAAAAGAATTTAATCTATAAAATAAAAAGAGAATCGTTAGTTAAACTAAAAATTGGTTCACTGTAGACTTACCGTTTGCTCTTACATTTGTAAAAGTCTAGTGATCTTAATAGTGTCATCAGTATATACTGATTGTATAAGCAAGTTGCCTACTCTGACTAATGGATGTATGGGATTATCATCACGGCAATTGTTGCGTATTTATTTACTGGACTATCTGCCGATGTTAATCTGCCGTTTAAAGAAGTTATTTATTTACAATTAAATAAACTGCGGATAACTTTCCGTATCATATCTATACCACTTCCCTTATTACTGGATCTATTAAATAATAAATAAAGTAACTAATACTCGATTAGCACTACTTGGGAATATAAACGGATAAATATTCGTTCTTTTATCTAAGATGGCTATTAATACTCCACGTCACTAAGACTAAAAAAAGAAATGAAATCAGTGATGTACATACGTTTACTAATCTAAATCTAGCACACGACTATAATGTAATCTACACGTACAGTAGTTTCTCGATTTCTAAAATATACCTAGAACCGTATACTACCCTAGACAGTCAGAATTATAACTCCTTCAGCAACATCGCTACAGTTTATTGTGTTAAAATGAATACTTATAAAAACCATCTTAGCAGGAAATCTAAAATAATAATACAGTATTACCTGGACAAATCTAATGATAATCTTGATATACAGTAATCCGTTTATAATACTTATATCGGAGAAAATGAACTGTGTTTCATACATTACAATATTTAATTTTTCTAGTCTGTATATGCAACCAGTACAGTATACAATTATCTATACAGTGCATGTACATGTACTGTAAATACCACTTAATATCATTACGTTTATATTAGCAATTTTAACTCTTTGCCCGAAGTTTAACTATAGTATGTTCAATTTTGCTACGACCAAGAAATCTTCAGTCTCATAATATAGTATTTAACTTCTCTAGCTAAGTAGTTATAATATGCAATATTGAAGGGACGTTTTTTAAGCGAGGTCGAAAACCTAATAATTGTAATTACTTTGAATAGTTTGCAATATAAAGAAAAAATATTAACATGTGTACTGTGTTGATACTTATGTAGGTAGGTTCAGACGCACAGCCAGTATACTCTTACTAATTGCAATCATTTATTACAAATGAAGTAATTCCTGCAATAGTTAAGAATTAAACAGACCAGCTTTTGTCATTGAAAAATGCAATTTAAAAGAATATGGTCAGTTGACACTTTACCAAGTTTAGGTGGGTTTATCAATTAAGTTAATTTTAAACCGCACGAAATTTAAGAGTGACGTATAATTGAAAACAAAAAAGCATAATATTTGTCCTGACCAGAGAAAAGCATATTCACCTGCCAGCAAGTTTTGAGAATAAATCCATTGAAAATAATGTTTTCTCTAATGGTAATACAGCGGTAAAGGCAATGTACCGTAACTTGTATACGGTAATCAGAATGTTAAATTATAATTACACATGCTCACATATAATAACTCCTTGATATTAAAATGATTTCGTTTTAAATTAACTTTCAAAAGCTATATATATATATACACATAGATGACGGATTCCTCTCATTAAATTCAAAATATATCAGGGGATGATGAAAAGTCTTGAACATCACGACTTTCCCAATAGTTACCGCGGTATACATGAACATCTCGATTGCAAAATTCATCAAATACTTTCTTAAACCATATCGGCTCAAAAGGTTTCGGCGGTAAATTCCCGCTTTCTTTCGCAGATGTAACCATAGCTTCATATTTATGACGTTTTCCACGTTGTTTTTCCTCTAAACGAAGTTTTTCACTATTAGCGCCATCAAAATCACCCTTCTCCATGCAGCGTTGGTCAGGTCTTAGCCTAGAATCGGTAGGAGCAATGCCATCTACAGGTGCATTTAGTGAGCAGGTTAAAGGTGCAAACCCGTACATATTTTCTCTTCCTGGCCTATTACGCATAAAACAGATATATAAGTAATTCACCAAACTTCTAGCAGAAAGTGATAAAATCAATACTCACGGTAAGGAATTCTTTTGCCAAGATAGCGTAGATTGCGTAGTTGGAGGTGGTTTACCAGATTTCACAGCATTATAATACTCTTCTAATGGGATTGGATCAATAACTTTTGCATATTCTATTTTATTATCCCAGGTGCCATTAATGACGTACCGTACTAATCGCTTAGCGTCAACAACTTGGCCGGATACCTAAGATACGTTACAGTGGACGCGTGATATAGTAAAGGTTAGCGTATCCTTCGTTGAAACAAAATAATATACCGTAAATAACTATTTACAAATCTTATTAAAATATAGTATTACCTTCCGTGGAGTATCTCGGGCAAAGTAACTATAAGCCGAATATTTCAAATAACACTTGTCGCGATTACTATGATTAGTAATTTCCATTTCACCAGACTATAGAAGTTATCAGATAAATTTAATTTAATTATAGATGAAACTTGCATTTTTGTTAAAAATTATAATGCTTAAAATACCCTACAATATTAATGAAGAATATTTCAATAAGTTGATTGGTATAATGATTATACCTGATCAACCCAAAGTTTTCCAACAATTATATTGTGGATAGTGGTGGTAACTTTTCTCCATGTATAGTGGTTACCGCTTTTTGGAAATACTAAATGTGCAATCCCTTGGGGAATGATTTGGATATATTTACCGCGAAATTTACTAGTCATACTAAAATCTTGCCATAAAACCCAATCTTTGTGTTCTACATATTGTGCGGAAGCTGGTGGATGATGACTGACCTATACGATTAACCAGCATGTTAATTAGTGCTGCGAAGTACCCCTTGTAAACGATGTGTAAATCATAATTATTACTGTACCTGCTCGCATAATGATCTCCAGCCAAGGTCAGATCTCCGATCGTATTCAAATGTTTCCCCAAGTAACGGATTAAAAGGCTTTGAAATTCTATAAGTAGTATTGGCGTAAGAAGACACTGTGAACGCTGCTACATAAGCTAACTGTTCACAAGGATCATCACACGCAGCAGCTCGATCGAGTATTTCAGAATATTCTAGATCTTCTGTCAGCCGTTGTAGGAAAGATAGCGGCTCATTAAAATTAACCTAAAAGATAATCATTTACAAAACTCTTACACCATTGTCTAACAAACCATTCTCTAAATGATAAGAATGTAAATATTTAAAAATGCTCTCATTTACTGGCAAGGGGATTTTCGTCAACTCTTTGCCAATACAATTTTTTAAAATACTCCATAAATTTAGGCGAATATTAGGTTTCTCAGGAATACGATCACGAAGTAGTACATCAATTCTTTTTCCGTTAAAGAAATTCTTATATAATATAAAATTTCAAGAAAAAATTAATTTCAATGATTTAAAATCATAAATAACCTATCAAAATAAACAGTCACCTTTGCAGGACCTTCCAATAACATTCGTATCTCAGGGCTACTACATGCTGGAACAAGTGCCAAATTAGCTTCAGCTCCATCACATTCTTCTTCTGTTTCCGTGTTAATATTAGCGGATGGTTGACTGCTTGTTGAAGATACGCTAACTGAAGGTTTTATCAGCGGTGTATTAGCAGGAACATCAACGGTAACATCCGTAGCATCATAAAACTCATTATCACTTTCGTCGTCGGATGTATTCATAGCAAGATCTTGTGATAATTTTCTTCCTATAAAATATAGACAACAGAAGGGTTAACATATTTCGATTTCGTTCTTAAAGTTAGCAACAAAGATAAAAGCAGCTTTGATCGTTCTCATAACCATGTCCTTTTATACTGCTCGATCTGGAGATTTTATTTTGAGCTCGTAAACGAGTTTCTAAATGATTCATTTGTTTAGCTAGTGTCTCTAAAGATTCTTCTAAAGTTGCACGCTTTTGTCGCTCGAAATCAATAGCCTGTTGCCATCTCCTTTCTTGACTTTGTGCTAACGAGAGATACTCTTCGCAAGCCTACTCAAAAAATTATTAACTATGTCGTTATGAAATTAACTAAATGTCTTTACATAATTCTAAATAAGTAATTCTGTATTTCTAGATACATACAGATTCGCATTTAAGAAGCTTAGCTGAGCATAAAAACACAATATTCATATACCTTGGCTAAATCCACAGCGGTAATTTTAAACATCGATGCTTTATCACTAATGGTGATTAGAGCATTATCGTTTTCTGTTCCATCTACCAGTATTTCACTTATACTCCTTTGAAATGAGGATAAATGGCTAACTACTAATTCATGTCGTGTTTGAAGTTCTTTCATTTTATTTCCAAGTGATCTAACATAAGGTGCAATTTCTATCTTGCCAACATCTTCCTCATCACCTAGTGAAAAGTAAGATTAAAAATTTTAGATCATTTCAAGATAACGGAATAAAGTTTTGATCTTGAGCTTGATCAAATAGAGAAAAAAATAGCCACTGTATTAGGCATGACCTACAGAAGTCTGCCAATGCAACTTAGCATCAAAGAATTGAAATACCTAAGAAAAGATTTGAACTATTGCTACACGTACGCTTAAATACTAATTAAGTATACATTAATATAGCGTCAAATACATACGCGTATATATATATTAAAAATACAGTGTAAGTAATATGTGTATATTACCAAAGCTTTGATAAGAGTAAAAATGACAACAATAACAGGGTACTTGATATAATTGTGATTCAATAAGGCATGAAACGCAAATATATCAAATGACGAAGAGTAATTATGTAATATAAGTTTAATAAAAGTGATTAAGTAAAAGTTATTGCGCTGATTTTGTATCCTACCAATTGCACCAATAATAAATAAGCGTCAATTTCATTGCTAATATACCACTTAGTTAGAATTTTTATACATACAATAAGTACAAAATAGTACAGTAATACGAGTATATTAAAAAAATATTTGTGTTGAAATAACCATACAGATGCTGTATGCATAAAACCGTAAATTCAAAAGGATTGTAAGAAGGTCGAATAAAATTTCGATGGATAAATATCTGTACCACTATTTGTGTAATAATAGACATGATAATATCGCCAAAAATGATATTGGGATGTTACTTTCTAGTCTTATCGAATCACCGTTCATTTAGTAATAATTTCGGTACAAATTTCTGATCATAATTATTTATATTAAAAGAGATGTGATCTAATACAGATAAATGGATTTACCTATGATGAGCGTTGTACAGTATCTATTGGTAATTAAAACAGTACATTGTTCATCATGATGAATAGCACTAAACTTCGATATTATCTACGGAATAGCTTAATCTATGAATGCTATTTTCGAAAGCGTAAAGACCCAATTATTAGTTGTTATTATTGTATTATAAGAGAAACGAAGGGTTGACATAGTATTGCTGACATAATATCAAATATACTTGACCTTGCATTATTAAAAAAATCAGGTGAATTCACTCAATTTGTATCTGCTAATCTATTCCTAAATGATATTATCTATCGGAGGAATACATCCAGTTGGAACTATATGCGAGGCAAAAATTGCCATGAATAGCAACATCTCATGCGTAGGAGATACGAACGGATAATAACCTGTTTGTACTAACATAGATTTAGATTTGAATATAGTGTAAATTGATTAACTGTGTAATATCTCCACTCCAATTTATCTCTTCGGCTGACAGATTATGTTTTAGTCCTACTGTATATTACAAAAGATACTTTAGGTATACATATTCTACAATTTGTGAAAATAAACTAAACCGACATCAAACTTATTATCAAAAACTACAAATTGCCATGGTATGATACAGTATCTAGAGTTTTTGGCCATATTTCCAGAGATCGATCAGGCAAGATGTAGGAGTTATTGTCAAGAACTATGATTAAATTCTTGCACATTCTTTCAAGCATGACATTTAAAAAATTCATCACTATACACGTAATTAGTTCTAGTATAACGTCGCTGCTATTGCACTATAAGAACCTTTAACAACTTGGCAGAATTCATCTTCGTCGCTAAAATCGTCGACAGTGTGAACTGTATTAAACAAATGCAAAATAATAAAGTATGAAATAATATATAATTACAAATACTCGCTGCTTTGCTAAATAGTGCTTACTGAATTTGACTATAACAAGGTGCAATGGAATCACAAACGATAAACAAATTGTGCAAGAAGGCGAAATGCGTGCACTTTCATTTATAATTGATAAGCGTAATCAATCCATTTTTTTACTCATATTGTAAGAATATTTGTCAACAATAGCCAACATATGGCAATTTTAATTTGTATAAGACAAATTCACGAGTGCGTTGTATTAGTGACTACTCAATATAAAAACAAAAAAATCTTTTCTTTTAGCTTGAGTAGTCCTAACTCTATCTAATATACTGTATATGTGTGCTGGTAAAAGATGTATTATAATTAAGTTTAAGACGTTCTTCCCTTACTTAAGATATAGACTGATAAGCGTTTTTCTTGATATATTTTTAGCAACTAATCTTATAGTGATATGTCAAGTAAACAGAATAAAGTTGCTGATACATTGATAATATCACTTTCAAAGCTATTTAACTATAATAAGTCTATAGGTCTAAAGATCAACTATTTTTACGGCCGCTATGAAGTAATATCACTCAAAATATAAATTACTAATAGTCTATTATAATTAGCCATAGATGAGAGTGTTTAACCTCGATATCGTTGTATCATAATAATTTAGAATAGTTATGTTAGGGCAAGGTTATCACGATCACTTTGTATTAGAGTACGCCATAGCATTTTAGTAGTCCATCGTAGTAGGCATACAGTCAATTAAGCATCGTTATATCGTCGGTAAATTTCATCATCGTTGATTATTGATACGCTAATTTACTTATTCATTCGAGAATATTGATGAGTGTTAAAAAGTTGGAGTTTTATAAACTAGCAGTAACTTATCGATACGTATAGTATACCTACATTAGATTACTTAACCGAATTGAATAATTTCAGTATCAACTATAAGCATATGCTAGATACGTACAGTATGTACGTAGGTGTCTAACCGTAAAATATTTACATACAATACAAGTAAGCTACGGTATAATTAAATTAAAATAATTATTTTAGTCTAAAGTAAGGTGTACACAACGGTCTTTCTTACCAGTACATGATGTACTACAGGCTAATTTAGTAAGGAGACGTATTTGTTGTATTCATATTCACGATTAATAAATTAAGATATAATTCCTACCCCGAATCGAGCTCTTTTTGATAATTTAATTAAAATTAATAGACGGCTGTTGTTGAAAATAACTGTATTTTGAAATCAGTTAAGGTTCAGGTGTACTTAAAAAGGTGCTATAAACTTGCAGCTGAGGAGAAAACACTTTACTGTACAGTAGTATATAATAATAAATAACTCGTAATTTCCTAACGTATAAGGAAGGCACTATTGTAAAAACATATTATCGAACTACTTAAGAAAACACGAATAAGACTTTTTCTATTAGAATATTGCTATTTAATTACCTATATAGACACAATCGGATTCATTTGAATTTATTATAATTACAAATTATCAATGCAACACCCGAATAGAATAGCAATTGGATAGGTATTAAATTAATTTAGGTCTGTGTACAATATCGCTCTTTTGAATGAAATTTTTTTCGCTCAGAATATACTTTTCCGTTCAATTCCAATCATCCATCAATTGTAGTACTATACTGTCTATAAAAATTCGTCAAATAATTTATTATTGTAGCATACTGACTAATCACTGTAAATTCAGTTTTGTTACCCACTTTCGTACATATCAAGTATAAGCTATTGGCAAATTATTAAATTGGCATTGCACCCCCCCCCCTGATTTGAGGATTACATGCTATCATCACTGTTATCGATTACTTTAATTTATCCAACATTTTTAATTTTATCCAACTAGAGTACTGCAACACCAACTTTTCAACTATGCATGTGCAATATGATAGTACGTAGGCTGCAGTCAATGGCTAAAGTTTGAATAATCCTACCATTGTTTTAGTTTAGGAGATTGGGCACTAATGATGAAATACTACGGCTGCAAAAGAATCAGAAATTGAAGAATTTCGATTCTTTTCTTCATTTTATTAACGTACAGTATAGTATACTGTAAGATAGAATTATAATCATTATCTTCACTACTACTGTATGTGGTGTAAAATATGCTGTAAGTTGAAGTAAAGAGATGAAGAATAGAACCGTTATTATGTTCATCATCTCACTGATTTACAGTGGATACAATGACTATCAAATGGTGTCATAGAAGGATAGAAATATTTTGATTTGAACTATAATATGTAGCTAGTAACTACTGTAGCAAATTCAATAGTACGTACAGTCGTACTAAAGACAAAAAAGAAGTGATTCATCATTAGGGCTTGGAATTCAAATTCAATCATGGTAGCTTTTGAGGCAATGTTGAAAATATTCAAGGCGATTAAGGAGCGTCATCAAGTTGGAATCATACGGGTACAGTGAAAATCGGATCGGAATAGTATCAATGTTACAAGTATCTTTGATCGATGTTTTACTTTGTTGCATTTGAACATCATAAAATCACCATTAGAAAGCAATTGAAGATTGATGTACTGTGTGTAGGTGGATAAAATAAGGATAGTGTTGGACTTGGAAAGGAAAGTTAACGCCAAATTTTTTAGAAATGATACCTAATAGACCATTGAAATCGTGTTTTCCGTTTATAAAAGTCGAAAATGGCTTTTATCAATCAATCCATAGCAACTGAAAATGAAAACTGCCTATTCTACGTTTTTATGTTAGTTGATGAAGGAAGAATAGGTACTTTAGCCAAGTCGCCAAAATACGAGTGCCAGAAGTCACATCAAGTGTACAAATCAAGCGCCATTCTTATTGGATTGCTATACTATGTTCTATACTAATCAAGCATATCGTAGTGCAGCTACTTTGGGATTCATTCTCGCTTATTTTACAAGTAGTAAATGACATTTGTTATTTACCTAATTCCAATAGCTTGATCGCACTGGCTTTGCATAATTCCAAAGCGGTTACCCACCGCTGGCGTTCCACTTCATTAGCAGCTCGAAGATGGAATACTTGTGTACTACCATTGCTGACGACAAAATTGAATAAATCTTCAGTATAAATATGTGCGCCAGCTAGATTAATGGTACCACGACAGGTATGCGCCATTTCAGCTTGATTTCTAAGGAGAACGAGAGCGATATATAGACCAACAGGCAAAAAAAAAAAAAAAATGACATCAGAGACAGTCGCTATAGTACATTCCGTTTCAGGTCCAATTTTCCTTCAAAAATTGGGGCAAATATTTTTACAAAGTGCTTCTCTAGTTGATTCATGGCTGTATTTCCCCCCCCCCCAAAAAAAGAAATGATTATTGTGCATGAAAATGGGGTAGGTTGAGAGCTAGATCGGTTAGCTCCAGAGTTGTTTAAGTGTCGATGGGTAGAGTAGGGACCGTTCAACATGACTTGTGAGGACGATACGGTACTGTAACTTAGGTTAAAGAGATGAAATTGGATGGACGCCAAAACAAAAAATACTTTGCATGAAAGTTCATTTACTGAGCCTAAAACGCAGTCAAAGTATTGTAATTTGATTTTATAGACAAGTTGCTCAATGTATTATGAAGATTCAATAACTATCAGACAACATGGATGTTTTTATCCACTTGATAGAACTACTAGAATCTCCATTGAAAGACTGCCAATCTGGCGGCCATGACAGTTTACGCGTCTTGTCGTTTATCGTCTTGGGAGTCAACTATTCTGCTGGGTGACGTCCAGTAGGTGACACGTTGCATCATACGCTACAGTACCGTCATCCAGTCATCGACACGATCAGCAATACTCATGGTCCAATCAGGTTGATGTTGTGGTCAAGTTGTAAAATGGTCTCAAGATTCAAGGATGGCTTGCAGTCTGGGCTGCCATGATTATTGGATGTACTATTTTATGGTTACCGAGTGGAGTTATCAAAGAAAATAGAGTACTGACCGATAATACGATAGCAATCCATTACATAAGACGAAATAGCGCTTTTGATATCCTTTAATATAATTGGTCCATTTATACAGCCAACCACTAAAGTTGTCGGGATAAACTCTGCCGTCAGGCATACTGCATGGATTCCTCACAATGTGTAGAGTACAACCCTAAAGAATCAATTCGTTACAATACACTTAGTAGATAGAAAATGAACAATTAATTCTCTACTTGTCATAGTTGAGAATATTCCAATCAGGTTTGTGTTCAAAATAAGAATTTATTTACCCCGTTAAGAACGATCAATTCTCCAATAGCCGTAAGTACGTTAAGCAGATCATAAAATGCACCACAATTTATTTACTACAGTACAGTACAGTACAGTAAGATGCCGTACAGTGCACAGTACTGTCGATAAAAGTACTGTACACTGTGAGAATCCACAATAGGATTGTACAGTGTACAGTGTACAGTATGGAGCTTTGGCAGTAGGTTGAGTACTGTACAGACAGATCAGAGAAGAGAACTGGAGTTACGAGGTATTGACTACCGAAAAGGAACCACAAAGTGCATGTTGACAGTGCTGTATGGAGATTCGAGGTACTTTACTGCCCAGTTGGTGGCTTTACACCTGATCACGGTCTAGTTTCATTATGATTAACATTATTTTCTTCTATCTCGATGATATCGTTGCTATGCCATCAATACTCTCTTAGTTCATGGTCACTTGGTCAGTGCCAACCATGTTGAAACTTGAAACTTGGACTTCTACTGCACAGTGTACAGTACCTCCACTGGCAGAAGTCCCAAATACCTCTGAGAGAGATACTGTTCAGTATAGTGAATCCAGTACTGTACTGTACAGTATCTAGAAGTTCATGACTGTACAGTGTAAAGTACTGTAATGTACTTTAGACTGCGCAGTGCACACCTGGCGTCGATGGGACGATGGCTGTGTGTATATCGAGATACTGTATATACAAGAGCGTACAGGTTTTTGTATGTACAGTACAGTACTGTTCTGGTATGAGTTAGTAGAAGCCAGGGCAAGATACAAATCATCGTTTACTCAGTCATGCATGAACCCTTCCACTCTGATATCCATCATACACGTATTTATAGAGGAAATTATTTACAGCATATCCGTGCTTCAGGCTGATGGAAAATTTTCTTTATTATCGTTATTACTCACTGCAATTTTAAAGAATCGATTCATACCAATGCTAAATGATTGTAAAGAGGAAATAATGAATTAACTATATATAAAGAATCGGTAGCCGCTGGCTACTGCGGTTGCTCAGTTGCACCACAATACTGTTCCACTTACTGTTTCACAATCAATAACAAACCGTCTCAAACCAGGGACTCCTTAACCACCACCCCCCACCCCCCATACAGGCCAGCCGAGTGAAACGACAACGAAGACCATGGTAGTAAAACCCCAGTCCAACCACGGTATTGTACTAATCACTCAATATATCCTAGCAACGACACGCCCTTAACTTGTGAAATGGATTCTTGCGCCAGATAAAAGCTGCCTTGCTTTTTTCTCATCTTGTTCCAATCAGCTCCTACGCTACCGTCTACGATAACGTGTATATTGCACCTAATGTTGAGGACTACTGTATCGTAAGCTACGGTATAAACGGCACAATTCAGTATTTAGCCGCACTTGCAGAGGGCTTTCAGCACAATTATTATTGTAGCGGTGGATTACATTTGGAGCAATTCCTCTAGGTAATTGTCCCCTACCTAGCTAAGTCTTGTTATCGTCCATTATTGTCCACAATTGGCGATCTTATCCACTACATTTTACAACAACTTCGATCATTATTGGTCATAGTAAATCGACAGTTGATTACCTTACTAACTTAATATTTCCTCCTGTATCATTCATAAGATTGCGCTGGCATACCATTAGGCCATAACCTACAGTACTTTTTTTTCTTCTTCATCAAAAGTCATTACTTGAAATCATCGAAAAAATGAGTGGCAACTCTAGCGCAGGTCGAAAAAAAGGCGGCGGATTTTTAGCTAGACAAGCTCAAAAAAAGAAATCCATCACCGAAGAAGAACTACTTAATAAAGATATTATTCGCCCGGAAGATGTTACAAGATTGGGCAAGATGACAGAAAGTAAAGTACTGTAGACTACTATCTTCTTTCTATACAAATGATGATTTTAAATTTGTTCAATTTATACCAGTATCAGATAAGTTATCAGTGAGGAGTCTGTAGCTCACTTACTACTCAAATTAATTGCAAATTACAACAATCTTGATTAGGCTATATTGATTGTAAGTAGTATACTTTCTCACATTATCGCCAAAGAAACGTCGGTTTCCTAACAAATGCACCATCACATGGAAAAACCATTTCTTTTTTCTTATACCTACCAGTAGTTTTCCAATAGGCGATATTTCATCTTCGTTGCGACTATTTTATCCGTTTATAAAGTTGTAAAATCATCTACCTTCGTTAAAACTGAAAATTGGCAATTAATGGTGACCAAGTTGACTACAAATTAGACGCTTCGTATTTGGAATGCTATATTCTCTAAGGCTATTTCTATACCAATATCATTACTATGTAACAGCCACTTTTTGAAAGCTAAAGGTCATGCAGCCATTTATTTTAGCAGTAGATTTCAATCATACGTTTATAGAGCTTTTGGATGATACTGAATTAAATGCAACTGAAATGCTGATAATATTTTATATAAGGCATCGTACTGCTCTATCAACATTAATTCTCTGTTTAGCATTTGAATCACACGTTTTATGCGATCATTAACAAATGTTTGCATTCAATCTTTACTCTAGCTTATGTTGTAATTCAATTCTATATTTTATACCTTTCACTACGATTTTTTTTAAAGTGCTTCATATGTCAGCCTGCTTTATAGAATTTAAAATTAGATAACAGCAGTTATAGCATTGTAGGAAAACACATATGGCCCCTACATTTTTATAGACAGAACAAATTTATTTGTAGTCTTGAATAGCCTACGTCATCTAGTAGATACCAAACATAGTACAACCTGATAAAGTCTGGATGTATCATTTTTAGCTTGAATAAACCTTTACGACAGACAGACTAGGTATTTATTCATCTCTCTATTTAGATACTATGTCAAATTTGAACAGTTAAGAAGGCTATTCAAAACGTGACATAGAAATAACATCGCCGCACCAAGCTCGCTCGTCATGACTAAAAATTAATTCAAAATAATATCATCTTATCTAAAGCTAGATTACACATTACACTTCTATATTCTATAATTAATTTGCAGCTATACGTAATAACAAGAAAGTTGAAGATATTCACTTTCTTCTTATCGTAATATTTGAGTTATCGTTGCAATAAAGATAATTAACGCCTGATAGAATATTTTATTTTATCATTTCTCTTCCGACTGATATAGTAACTATATTCGAAGCGTAAGCCCGTTACATCATACCGCAATTTTTCTTTCTCTCTTCTCACAATTAAACGTGCGTTTGAGAAATTTCTAACCCCATAATGATTTTGGTGCTCTCCAAAATATCAAACACACGATTTATGTCGTAATATATACTGTATTTATAGCCATTTCTTCCAATTATTAAACACGCATAGTAAATTAAAATTAGTACTAGAATAGAACTTATTGCAAATAAGTCTCTACATACTCTACAATTCTCTGCTCAGTGGCTATCCATCAATACGACACTGATTCAAGACACTACCAGGGCTTTGTTTAATTATGGTGTTAACCATGTAAAGGCAGAAGCTTCACCTCTGTTTTTAAATACGTGTAATCAACTTCTTATTGGCATTTACTGTTTATGCACTTTTATGCCTTTAATTTTTTAATATTCAGCTTTTGATTAATTATTTTTAAGCGTCATTATTATTTTGTTATGCTGTATTAACGTTATATAGATTACCTCTGTAAGCCTTCGGCCAATGTCTTTGGTATCGAATTTACGCGATTTAAAATACGGGATATGGAAAGTGGAGATGTCATATTTGAAATAGCTAAACCCGATAATGCTGAAGAAATACCACAGGAAACAAACAACGATGATGATGATGATCCAAGAAGAGGCCGATATGTCCGATATCAATTTAGTCCTAAATTTCTGGATTTGAAATCTGTTGGAGCAACGTAAGTGTATACTACAACCAATATCGAATACAATTGACTATGAACAACTATAATAGCTATCGTGTTGAAATAAGTAAAATTAATAGATCCTAAAGAAAGATCAATGAGACTTTCCTATACATTTTATACACGCTGTTGAGCAAATTTTATCTATTTTATACTGTGTCATTTGAAAATCTATTTTACAATCTCTAATCATCTAAACCAACATTACTAAAGAACTACTAAGCATCCATTTTTAGTCGTAAATTTCGGTTAATCCAATAATCAACCCCCTTCATTTACTCGATACTCACAAATATTGTTTTGTTCTAAATCTTCTACTAGTATCCTACTGATACTTGAATTTCTTAATTATGTTATAATTGCAATAAATTTAATTCAATTTATTTCATGTATATATGGCATAATAGTAGTACTTAGATGGATTATTAGATCACATTTTAATTAATAGATGTTACTATCTCTTCCTGATCGATTTAATGTATATCATTGCATAAAATTTTAGTATAGCTCAACCCTTCCTCCTCTAAAGTTTTTTCTGTATAATTTCTTGTTATTATCTCTAAAGAAAACGAGAGGAGAATTTTTATTCCATAGGTCATAGTTTAAATAGCTGAAACAATTTCCTTTTGTTTTTTCAGCATGACTTAGATACAATTTTTACTTCTACTCCATTAACCCGTCATATGCTGCCCATATTAGCATGGATACGATCAAATTCTTATTAAAAATAATTTACTTCATTACAATTTACAAATAATTTTGAGTAGATTGAAAATTTTAAGTAGATTTGCTCAAGCATTCTTTAGCTAATTTTAGTTCTACCACTAACCATGAATTCCTGTATTAGTTCGGCTTTCCAGCAATTGTGGATAAGCTTTGTTACAGATGCAAATATTTCTACATTTATAATAATCCTAAGTTAAGTTAATCAATTAACCATCTACTGTACTACAATTATCGACTACCATTAATTTCATTTTAGATCGAAAATTCTTATCCAATCTTCTAGAATAGTCTTTTAAAATATATATATATATTCAAATTTATATGCCAAAGTATGACAATTAATTGTATTCGTGTCTTTAATACTTTCACCTTTCATTATCATTGCAGTCGATAGACTCTATAATTAATCCATTTGGCCTACTGAATTGAACCTCTTTAGTAGCAATAATTCTTGCTAGATTAGCTCCAGTTTAATACTGTATAATGCTACAGATTTAAACCTCTTTTTTAAGATTGTCGATGTCCATCATATCAACAGTATGACGATAGCCTGAATGAATCTGACACGAAGTAGATCATTATTATGATTATTATATGATACCTATCACGTAGATTAATAATTATAATAGGGTTATATTCAAGCTTATTGCCTATAGGCAATAAACTAAAGTAAAAATCTAGCCTGATTCGTTGCTATTAACTCCGATTAAATTCGCAAAGATATAATCCAATATAGAGTTATATATCAATTCCTTCTAACTGAGATTAAAAAAGTAGCAAAAATTACCACTCATCATTATTAAAAGCCTTTCCAATAACTGTCATAATACATGACCGTTAGGGCAAACAATATCTTAGTTTTACTATATAGATTATAACGTATTCGTCAGTTAATAATGATATTAGAGTATCAACTCTATAACTTTTTCATATTCGGAATCGAAATAAAATTAGAGTTAAGTGCTCACTTAGTTTAACAATTTTGATAGTCACAGTCCTCATCAAACAATTTTTATTTTTTCGTCATTAACCTCATAATAATTTACGTTTAGATGTATTCAATCTTCTACGTATAGCTTTTGTTAATTAATCGTTATGATAATAACGTTATATAATATATCTTAGGATAAACAACATAACAATCTTTCGTTATAGCTTTAATAATAGAATATAATTTGAAGTGAAGTTAGTTCCTGTACATCTTTTAAGCAAATTAACAAAATTTAGATAATCTTAGTACGATATAAGTCTATTTAATAAAGCAAATGTATGTATTTAGAGGGAACTAAGCGATCTAATATCTCTAAGCGACTTCATTATTTATTTTTCTATATTGCTATAAGAATTAAGATTTATTACAGCGTTGTGATGATAGAAACATAATAAGAAATGAATTAAATAATTGGAATAGAATAAGTATTAATACATTATGAAATAAACGTGTTACTGTATCTGTTATATAGTATCAAGAAGTAAAAGTTTTGCTTAGCTGGCATTAGCTAATAATCAGATAAATGAAGCCTTAGTAAAACTATTTTATTACCTTTCTCTTTTATTTGCATGCGGTATAACATTAGATATATTTTTTCGTCTCTATGTAATTTTCGTAGTTTTGATGAAGTCTTTTAATAAAATCAAACCGATTTACCGTACTATATCATGCAGAAGAGATAGGCTTTACTTTCCAAAGTCACTAGCGATTTAGAGATTTTTGAATCTTTACGAGAATAATATGAGAATTTAATCATATTGATGACTTAAATAGTAATCCAAAATCTTAGAAGACAGCATTGTAAGGCTCAAGTATAGACGAGCTAAAGAGATTTCATTTAGATACAAGAATATGATTGAAACTAAACGATAATTAATTCTGTCATTGTTCGATATTTAAAGGTGTAACCTAACTACAATTGAATCTACGTAGTAGTTTCCATTCGAGGCTGAAAAGGAAAAATTTATGAAAGAATTATTCTTTTAATTAAAAATGCTTTACAGCTATACATAATAATATATATGTTGTATTCATGTATGGTGATATGCTTGCAAATGGATGTGTTTTAATATCAAATCTTATTTATCAAATAGTTTACAGTCACAATTCAGCTAACAATTTCTATCATTTTATATCTTATTTTTAATATTTAGGGTAGAATTTGTTGTTGGCGATAAAGCTATTAATAGCTTTCGAATGATTGAATGTCATTATTTCCGTGAAAAATTGTTAAAGAGCTTTGATTTCGATTTCGGTTTTTGTATACCTAACAGCAAGAATACATGCGAGCACATCTACGAATATCCTGAGTTAAACCCCGATCTGAGTAAGTTGTTAACTACTACCGTAATTTCACTCTGTACAACTTTATTTATTAACCTAAAAGCAATGGAAAAGTAAGTTTCATATCTTTAGCAGATTATAATAGACCTTCCATGATAATATCCTTTTAGATTACCTATAGATTCCATGATGTAAACAACTATTCAGACGGGTAGTAAAACTTTTTGTATGCTAATCAAAATTCATTTTCGATTTTAATGGCAGCATTTTAAGAAATTAAAATCGTTTTAGATTACCTATAAGTCGCCGTATAGTGTAACTAAGCCCTGATTGTAGGCTTGTATACGATATATAAATCCTTTTCAACTCTAGTATCATTCCCGACGATATGATTTGTTGTGAAGCGGAGTGTGTCTTTAGCAGTCACAACTAGAGCACTATCAGTCACTTTAAAACAAGAAAAGAACTGTAATACTTCAAATACACCAATTTGAAGCTTCTGTAGTAATATCTATAATTATTCGCGAGTTTGTGAAGTATATAACTCTCTAATAATTCTTAGTGCTACCTAACGATTGTTTAAGGCACCCTCAACTTTAATAGCGGTGCTTTTCATAATTTGAATTTGCTGTGCAAGTTTATTCCGTCTTGATTGATAGTGAATTCTATCGTCGTGCATTGCTTACATAAATGAAAAAGCAAATATTATGCTCATCCCATACCAAACTAGAGTTTCTACATAGACGTCTTCTAAATGACTTACGTATTATCGTTATAAATTACTAACCATTTTGATTATTCATAAGCTTATGGAATAGTTATTTAAACCTGCTTTCAAATTTTTAATAGTAATAGTTTTTAAGCTTATTTCGCTGTAAAGCAGATGAGTATTATATGTTAAGTGATACAATAGTTCATCTTAATACTATCATACTATTTCTTCATTCTATAACAATACCATTTCCTTGACAATTTATTTAACTTTAAAGTATTTCGTATAATAAATATCCTGCATGGAAAATTGTCCTTATATAATTTCTCAATTTCATCTTCTGATTGTTAATCTATCATTATAGAAGAGGAAATGATCAACAGTCCATTCGAAACTAGATCGGATAGTTTCTATTTTGTTGATAATAAATTGGTTATGCATAACAAAGCGGATTATTGCTATAATGCTGAAATGTAAACGGGTAAATGATGGCAAGAAAGAGGAAGTGCATTTCTATTTTCCTGCCCAATATACACCAGCAGCCAGCTGGGAGTAGAATTAATTCATAAAATTGCGTATGACAGTATTTGTAATATGTGATAAGTTTGTTTTCAAGCATTATCTTTCCGTATCTCTTATAGTACAATAAGCATTCCTTATTCATTGATTATTATTTTAGTTAGATTAAATTAAAAGCCAGCAAATTTTCGTATCAGTAGTCATCAAGATAGTTGATTTTTTATCTTTAATGCATATTATATTGTATACCATGCTTATCAGCTAGTTATTAACCAAAATTATTATCAATTATGGTATTATAACACTTATTAATCCATTTGAATTCATTCCTTCGTTAATATTTGATTTAAATAGTCAAGTATTTTGTCAATTTTACTGAACTTATTAATATCTTTCATATCACTGATGTTATGATACTAATCTTATAAGCATGAAACACGGACGTTATTCTTAGCTACCCTCGTCCTATCAACCTGTCTTTGTCTCTCCATTTCTCCTATTTTACAGTATACGATATAATATAAACACCCAATTATTTAGCAAAATAGATTCCTTGTTACGTTACCCTCTTAACATATGACTATTAATATTAATTAACTACATGCATATAATTAAATTTGTGCCATATGGCAACTGTGACTTATATCGACTTTTTGTAGTTTGTCAATTTAATGCCCTAGTTTACAAAGAGATGTTTTTACATCATTTATCATAAAAGGAATGTTATAAAAAATTGTCTACCAAATTATAAAGTAATAGATATTATAACTATTATCATATGTAATCATTTCGTTTATGTCTTTTAGTAATTATGATAATTATCTTTACAAGTTGTGATAATGAAGTTGAGTTTGATAACGTTCACGACAAATTAACTTGATGTAGTATCGTTTATTATAATTATTATAATCATCGTCCTTGTTAGATAAAAACTTTTCGTTTCATCCTATAGCCAGCATTTCAGATATTTAGGTATCTGTAAGTACTAACATTAGCTGATATTAATTAAACATATAATTATATATACATCATCAAAATAATTGTAAATGAAACAGTAAAATGTTCTCTCTAGATATTATTCAATGAATCTTGTCACGGTATAATTTATAATGCATTGCGGGATGAATGAAACCTCAGTACTGTCCTGTAATCTGACTGTTAGATAATGGCCAAGTCAATCTATAATTTAATAACAAACAATCGATATACTCTCCAGTACGTCATGAATACTGTACGTAAACATAATAATTTTCATTTGAAGGATGCTCTTAAGTTATTTTTTACGAATATCTTACGGAATACTCGCAACATTATGGATAGAAACGTTAGGTTATGGTTAGTTTGTTGAATTATATTAGTCGTCTTGGGCACTACACAAAACATTTATATGTATTACTTGATTATTAATATTCTTTAACGTATGGTGCTTATAGCAAGGGACTAATCAAGAAAAAGTTTGTACTCTTTCCTCTCTAAAAATCTTATACTATGCTTATCAGCGTATATACCTAAAAGAGGGTTATTCAGTTCAATTCATTTTTACCTACATGACACAGTAATAAACCCATATGTGTTTACAATATGTTATGCCAATAGATTGTCTGTAAAATGATTGACTATTTATACGGTCCAGACTATGGTATGGTTATTAACACTCTCAATAGGTATTCTTTAACCTCATCGATCCAGCAAAATTACTTCGTAACTTGATATTAAGTACAATTACACTTCAATAACTATTTCAGCACTGATATAATTGGTACTGGTCTACTTTTTATCCCCAAGTTTTTTATCAACGCGTATATTCTACTTTAATATTAGTTGATTTAGCTCAACTCATGTAAATCGATTTGTTATTGCGAAAAAATTCGATAACCTTCGTAAATACTTACAAATTAAATGGTTCATTTTGAAATTTAAACACGTTCTATATCACTTTAATTTACTATGAGTGAGTTTTCAGTAGATTATGAAATATAAAATGAGCCATATGAAGACAAGATACCTTCAAAATATATATGTCTCTTTTTGGATGCATGTACCTAATAGCCAATACAACTTAGACAACATTACTTGTATTGTATAATGATTCTTACATAAGGCTTCAATTGGGAAAACTTAATATTTCATATTAAAGAGCGAGATATTTTAATATGATGATTTGTTAAATTTTGACGCATCCTGTAGCTTATTCAGCCATCACACGATATTTTATATCCAGCTTTAACATACGTATCTACTAAACTTAGCCATATAATAGAGCGTTGGAGAATGTATTCAATAATAGTACTTTTAAATTCACCTGCCGCTACTATCTCGAATGGTAGTTGTCATATTTGTATAAATATGATAATACTTAAATTTTTAGCTTAGAGTATCGCCTGCAAAACTAAGTTACCCTTATTCATAAATATTTCTCTGAACATATCGTAGATTATTCTGCGGATGATAATACATATAGTCATGCATAAAATCATAGTAGTTCAAACCTAAAATAACTACTCAATTTGGGTATAAGATTCAACAAAGAGCCCTATTTTTGAAAATAGATTATCATATTGATTAACTCGTAAAATAACTTATAACCGTTATAGTTGCTCATATTGCAAGTAATATTAATTCATACGGTACTGATTTTATTTACGATTGCAGACGTTTATAATTATACCTACTACACTAGTGTATAAAAATTCTTTCAACTAGAAATTACTGATGTAACTTTAGCAATATCAATCATTTTTCATAAATATACAGCAAAGTGACACAGCAAGAAATAAGATTTTAAAAGATCAATTAAATGTGTATCCGTCGAGAGTTAATTAGATTTAAATTTTCATGATATCAATTCAAAAGATAAGATTAAATAGAATATTTTTGTATCCTGTCAGTTATTACACGCCTAATTTTACAAATACACAGTGTATTCTCAATATTTATGTTTGAAAGTTAAGAGAAAGTAAATTAGGAAATGTTTCGGTCATAATCATGACAGGCGCAATAACTTATGTCGAAATAAAGAATTAAAAACTCTAAACTTAAACAGCGAAATTAAATTAGAATGTTTTCTTATGTAGCTATGCCTTTTATATTTACGAATAGCGGCATAAATGCATATTATATAGAAAGTGAAATAAACATGTCACCATTATATTTATATATACATATACATATATACGATTTAAAATGTTGAGCTTTAAAACAAGGTAATAATAAATTAATGCCATATATTAGCCAACATGAAACATATTAAATAATGTTAAATTAAATAAATTTATAAACAAATACTGTATGCTAATGGAGCATATTCGGTAAATGATTTGCACCAGTCGCTTCCCTTCCAAGCAAATAGTAAGTTAATAACTTTCCTTTGCCTTTGACAGGTATCAATCCTCTGCAAGTAAATTTAAATCCTCTAGTAGCTAAAATTTCTTGAGTTTCTTGAAAAACCTATGGCAGAAAATTATCAATATTAAGTTAATTAGAGGCTATGCATCATTAATCTAATTATTACTAATAAATCGGATTAATAATATTTAATATATTGAAATAGCTACTAGTTTAATCTGATGCCACTGATACCGTAGAATTAGAAACTTACTTGAACAGAGCCAGGTTTTCCAGTTGTGTCCATCCTACTAGCAACATTAACAGTATTTCCCCATATATCATAATGTGGCTTATTTACACCAATAACACCAGCTACTATAGGGCCAGATGATATTCCTATAATTAAAAAGATAAGCATAGAGTAGCTTATATAGGATCCATTTGAGCATAGTGGCATACCAAAAGGCGAATTTCTTCACCTTGTTTGAGTGCTAACTATTATTGTTATGCTGGAATGCAATATATTACTATACTATTTTCATATGCTATATGATAATCATTTGCCTAGCAATACCAATATCTATGTTCGTTGCAATATATGAGGCCTCAGTAAATGATCGAGCAATCATGCCAAAGCAATACGTTAACGTCAATTTAATATATGCTAATAATCTTGCATTATTAATATCATTACTTTTGATATTATCAAGAAAAAGCTATATTGAAAATGAGTTTAACAAGCGTGCTTGAAGTGAAAGAAAGCTGATGGTTATAGTACTAATTCATTTATTACTTATAAGAAAGCATTGAATATACTCATACGTTAGATCCTTATTATCTGTCTAGACATCACATCTATTGATATTTAATGAATCTAAATCGTTTCTATTCTAGATATTAAAATAATCTATTGTTGATATTAGAATTTTGGAGAGCGAAAGCATTTGTATTTAAAACTTGTAATATTTGTACTTCACTTACCAATTCTTAAGTGAAAGCTATTGAAAGAATTTTCGTTTATTTCTTTTAATTTTTTAATCAAATCAAGCGCAAAATCGGCCAAATCAACAAGATGTTGCCACTTGTCTACATTTTCCTATCACAAATAATGAATCAAAAAGTAAAATCATTTAAATTAAATTGTGTGTAGGCTTTATACTATTTCATTAAGATTTTAATGTAAAAAGTCAAAATTTTAAAGGTCGAAATAATTAATTACCTCAGGTTCAGGAGCGATTCCAG